CCTTTCTTGAACTGGGAACGCTACACAAGTTTATGATTGAGATTGACATGACCTTGAAAACTGCCTGCTCGCACATTTGCCTATGGGGCTTTGGGCACATCGTGAAAAATTGCTCACGCCAACAAAGGCCTCTGCGCAACTTTCTCCCGTATCCCACGCCCTTCTCCTCCTTCCCATCCCCGGAAATTCTTCCAATTTTTCCGGGGGTGGACACCGCTGGCTTTTTTGCTTGAGTTTCAGACCGGCCCAATCCTATCCCATGCTCTTCCCTTCTTTAGAAATCCTCCTTCCCATCCCCGGAAATTCTTCCAATTGTTCCGGGGTATAATTTTTTGAGAGCATTCTCAAGGCAGGCGAACAGGGGTTGGGGGAGATCGTTTCCGATGTTTCAGACTGTTTTCAGACCTGGTTCAGACGCTTTTGGATGAGGAGAGGTGGAGCATCCTTTGTGCTACTGAAGTACACTTGCGCGGCTCTCGTGCAGCACTGAAGTGGCTAGCAACCCCCCTTTCCAAGACATGCCGGCTTCGACCGATTTGCTCTGATCCCTACCTATCCCCTTCCTTACAAATCCTCCTTCCCACCCCCGGAAGTTGTTCCAATTTTTCCGCGGCTCTAACATTTCCCTGTGACGGGGGGGGGGGGGTCTTTCAGACTTGGCTCTTACCACGTTTTCAGACGCTTTGTGAAATCAGGCACATTGAGAAAGGGACTTGGTGCTTGCGAACTCCAAGTTGATTCCGGACTTTTTCCGGACTTTTCCGGACGTGCCCTATCGTATCATGCCCTTCCTTAGAAATCCTCCTTCCCATCCCCGGAAATTGTTCCAATTTTTTCCGGGGCTATGACACTTCCCTGTGACGGGGGGTTCTTTCAGACTTGGCTCTTACCACGCTTTCAGTTTTCAGACCTGGCTCAATCCGGCTCAGACGCGTTGTCAAATCAGGCACATTGAGAAAGGGACTTGGTATGTGCGAACTCCAAGTTGTTTCCGGACTTTTTCCGGACTTTTCCGGACGTGCCCTATCGTATCATGCCCTTCCTTAGAAATCCTCCTTCCCATCCCCGGAAATTGTTCGAATTTTTCAGGGGACACTTCCCTGTGACGGGGGATTTTTTCGGACTTGGCTCTTGGCGCGTCTTGAGTTTTGAGAGCATTCTCAACGCAGGCGAACAGGGGTTGGGGGGATCGCTTCCGATGTTTCAGACTGGTTTCAGACCTGGTTCAGACCGGATCAGACGCCTTTTGGAGAGCCCCCACACATCAGGCACATCGAGAAAAGGGGCCTGCTTGTTGGCAAACTCCAAGTTGTTTCCGGACTTTCTCCGGACTTTTCCGGACGTGCCATGCTGCATGGAGACCGTGACAGCAGGCACAAGGGACTTGGGCCTGCTTGTTTGCGAACTCCAAGTTGTTTCCGGACTTTCTCCGGACTGTTCCGGACGTGCCATGCTGCATGCAGACCGTTACAGAATTGAATTCAAATTCGGGGGGCGCGCCGGCCCATATCACACAGCTCGGCCCGGACTGTGGCCATCTGCTTTGGATTTTTGAGATGGGCCTGACATTCACAACCATGCCCCATACTCGGAAGACTTGCAGCCTGAGCAAGGTCTGAAACGGGTCTGAAACGAAGATGTGTTTGCAACACTTTGATATACACATATTATGTGAATTGATAAGTCTTGGTACGAAGGCAAATGAATGGCAGTTAGTGTCAGGAAAATGGAGCGGCTTTCAGTAGTGACATGGTTGCCTGATGGGGTGGGTAGTCTTCCCGCCTCGGCAGCATGTGGTAGCGGAGCAACTCAAAGTGGGTCCCATGAAACTCCACCCGCAATGATCCTCTGCCTCCTCATCTACCGACTCGAGATCAACCCCCCATTCTTCTTCGTCCTCTTCATCCCCGGCACTTCCTCCGGATTGAGTTGGTTGCCTGGCATCCGGCCACCTCCATGGTGGAGTCTCTTCGTTCACGCTAGCAACCTGAATTCTTCGTGTTCAACCTTCATCCTGCACGGCCGTCACCTTTCCATAGAACCGGCTGGAATGTCCACCCCCACTCCAATTCGCACCAAGGTGTAGCCTCCTGCAGGTACGATCACCTCTTCGTTCGCAAAGATCTTGTAGCCAGCCATCGCTTCCTTGACCTTCTTGAACTTCACGGAAGCTTCTTCTCTTCTCCACGCCAAAATGCTCTGACCTGCCGTCTTGACCAACTGCAACACCGTCAGTACGGCCAGAAAAAACAGCAACAGCATCACATCACTCTCGATACCACCTGTAACGTCTGCCGCGTCCATTCCCTGCAAGCAACCTCCACACGTGACCAACAGGATCACAGCCTTCTGAAGCCCACCCATCTCATCGCCGTGCATCTTCCGCATTCTGGGCTCTTCCACAGCCTCTTCTTGTTGGCACCTCCATGATCCACTCTCTTCTCGCATGCCCATGGTCTCCTTCAACCTCCTGAAGAGCACATTTCCGACATTCTTCATAAATCCATCTGCAACCAGGTGTTCACCCGGAAGATGCTGAATTTCCAGCCTATGTTGTTTGGTCGCCTCAATCACTGCGTGCGCTCGGATTCGTAGATGCCTTGTTCTCCAAGAACCCGACGACCCATTGATGATCGCCAGAGCCGCACGAAAGTCCGAGAACAGCCTCAAAGTTGGCTCTACCTGCTCCAACTCACCGACCAGGCAGCCACCTTCATCGCGCTCTCCGCGGTGGAAAGGGATGCAAGGTTGTCTGCTGGTCAGCCAGAACACCGAGCAACCCGCATAGAATGCCACCAGCCCAGTAGGGCTCCTATATCCGTTGTAGCCTTCGACGGCCTCCACGCTCTTTGTGGACCATGATCCCCCGAAGCCCACCTTCACCACCCCAATAGGCTTTTTGACAGCTCATTGGCTCATCACCGCAACCGGTAGGCAATGTCTGGTCTTGTCCATGAGGACAGCCACAACAGCTCACCTGTCAGCACTTGCACCCCATGCTTCTCTTCTTCATCAGGAACTCCAATGCCTGCAGAAGTCACGCCACGCCGCTCTATCAACTCCCGCACATAGGACTCCTGGCGCTAGGCAACTCAAACCCGCAGAACCGCAGGTCACCATTCTCCTCTTGATTCGGGTTCGCTCACTATTGAGACGGACCTGATGCCGCCCCTGATGATGCCGCCCCTGATGATCGCGCCCTCCCCAGCCCTTGCCCTCACACTCTCCCGTCCACTTGATCTGGTCCCGGGGAACCTCGTCCCGGTAGTCTGCCCAATCCCTCGATGACGCGGTAAGGCCGTAGACAACCATAACTCCTCCGCCGCGACAATTCCGTTCTCTATGAATATCGCCTGAATCACCACCACATCCTTTTTTCTTCCCGGAGGAACTTGTAGGAAAGCTGTCTTGACATCCATTCCCGCTACCTGCCATCCATGTTGAGTGGCCTTGGCGATCGTCGCTACCTGGGTGCCATCTATCCCACTAGCATAGGTGGAAGCAGTGGGCCGCTCCGCTATGAAATTGCTGCAAGCGACAGCACGCACCTTAAATCTCCCCCAGCCTTCCTGGTAAACACAGCCTTGCCAGGTACTCGATCGAACGGCACATTGGTGTTCCGGGAATGGATCCTCAACTGTTCCGACTCGGCAGAGCTTATCGGACCCCCGTGTTCTTCAAGGCTTCAACCTCCATCAGACCTCCTCCTCGACTGCCTTTTCAATGATCTCCTGAGATGTGAAGATGTCGGGAACCTCGGCAGGGTATCTTGTGCAGGATGAAGAGGGCAAGTTCCTCCACAGCGGTGATGTGGGCCAAGCAGACCTTCACGAAGCTCCAGCTGAGGACCTTCACGAAGCTCCAGCTGAGGGAGTCGCGGTGGAGCCAGGAGAGTTACAGGATGTCCATGAAGGTCCCGGGGGCCAAGAGTGCGGTCGCGGAGCCTGCGGCAGTAAGAAGTTTCCTGCAGGAATGCTTGGTGAGAGGCAGAGGCATCGTGCACAAGGAGGTCATGGACGGGAGACGCCCTCCATTGTGGCGGAGGAGGAAGGTTCCGAGGGTCTCATCCCATGATTTTCGCCTTCTTCCGGGTGGACGTCAGCCCGATCATCCCAGGCCTTCCTTTTCGCCCAACCTTCGCTGCCAAACGTCTGTAATGGGTTGGTCGGGTAGTTCATCGCTTCAAGCTGCCCCCTCCACCTTCTTTCCCCAGCATGGGCAGCTAGCGGTTGTAGGTCATCCCCACCCAGTCCCCGCGAAAAGTGTCTTGGTCATCCGACGGATCATGCACACCTCCGCTTCCGCCCGACCATTCATCTTCCATGAATTTCCATCTGCGCCTTAGACGTAAACTCCCCTGCTCGATCACTGTGCAGCCGCCGAACAGGTATTCCAAAGTACCATCCTAGCCAAAGCCGCAGTCACCTCTTTTTGATGCCTGGTCGGCACAATCTCCACCAGCGTGAGCTGCCTCATCTCAAACTCCTTTTCCTCTTCAATTCTTTTTAACCACTCATCTCCATCATCCGCAATCTCACCTTCCGGCTCCATATCCCGTTCTTCTCCCTCTGTTTCCAGCATCTCAGCCAGCTCTCCTCCTTCCAAAAGTCCCACCTCCGGTAATGCTCGATCTTTGCCATCTCCTGCAACCTCCCCCGCGCCTGGGCCCTTTTTCTCCGAAACCTCCTTCATCAACGCTCGCCCTTCCTTTGTCACGGGAATGGTGTAGACCCCCAACAGCACGCAGCGCCCCTTTCCCGACTGGTCGGTTCCTGCCTTGAACGGTCCAGCCAGGTCCAGGCTCAAGGTGAAGGCATCCTCATCCAATCCGCTTGTGATATCGAGCCTTCCCTACTACTTCCAAGCACGTACGGCGCCCCCAATGATAAGGAAGGTGGCCGTTCTGCAGGTGAGTGCGTCATTGAGCCGGGGTGAGGGGATTGATCCACCTTGAAGCGCCAGCCAATCTCCAACGTTCGTGGCTCCCAGCTCGCCTTCCTTTACCTCTTGAAGAGCCGGAAGATCAACCGTCCAGTGGGGCAGCTGCCCCTCTCCGGCATCCCCAAAACCTCGTACTCCTTGAGGATGTTCACCTCTGACCCATCAGATCCAAGAGCCACCAGGTTCTGCTCCATCAACTCCACCTCCGGCAGAATTACTCCAAAGACTTAGATCTCCTTGACCCTCTGCCGTCTCCCAAATTGCTCCAAGACCTGATGAGCTCGTTCTCCTGGCCCTTGAGGTTCTCCCACACCGGCTGGATATCCCGAACCTTGGTCTCCAAAAAGATTCGCTCCTCCAGAACCTCCCCAGGAACACGGACATCTCCCCAAACTCCAAGCATCCCAGCTTCAGGTTGACCACCCCGGAATCCAGGACCAGCAACGTTGCTCCCCCCATTGATCTGCACCTTCATTTCTTGCAGCTCTTTCTGGAGGAACTGGTTTTGGGCCACCAGGCCCTTCATCACCACCACCTCTCTCATCCCGCCTTGTCCTTGATCCGCGCCTTGCAGAGCCCACGTCCGCCTTGGGAATCATCCTCTCCATGAGGCAAGTCCCGCAGCCGCAACGCCCTCAGTTCGGCCTCCTTCTCTCATTAGAAGGGGTTGGTGATGGCCGGATTGGTCACCGCTCCCACTAGCTCCCTCCCGGGATGGGGCCATAGCTCGTGGGCTGTCCTACCGGCCCACTCAGCGCCACAGCCAACGCCTCCTTATGTTCTGCTTCTTCTTCTCGCGCTGTCCTTGCCGAGGAAGCTGACGACAGCTCCATGGCATCAAACCTGCGTTGGGCTCATAACCTTCAGATCGAAGGCAGCCAAGCTATCTTTTTCCTATGCCAGACTTGTGCCAAGAAGGGCCAAGAAGGGCTTTGTTCGCGCCCGAAATGTTCTTGGATTACAACCTCTTACCTGACATACCCGGCCTCCTTTACCACGCCTTTTGCGGGATATTCCCCATGGCTATTACAACCACTTACCTGACACACCCTGCCTCTTTTACATTGCCTTTTGCGGGATATTCCCCATGGCTATTACACGCTCTTACCTGACATACACTGCCTCCTTCACCAGGCCTTTTGTATTCCACATGGTTTTACAATTGCCTGACACACCCTGCCTCCTTGACCATGCCTTTTGCGGGATATTTCCCATGGTTGTTACAACCACTTGCCTGACATACCCTGCCTCCTTGACCATGCCTTTTGCGGGATATTCGCCATGGTTATTACAACCAGTTACCTGACATACCCGGCCTCCTTTACCATGCCTTTTAGCGGGATATCCCCCACGATTATTACAAGCTCTTACCTGACATACCCTGCCTCCTTGACCATGCCTTTTGCCGGATATTCCCCATGGTTATTACAACCTCTTACCTGACATACCCTGCCTCCTTTACCATGCCTTTTGCGGGATATTCCCCATGGCTATTACAACCACTTACCTGACATACCCTGCCTCCTTTACCATGGTTTTGGTGGGTTGTGAGCCATGGATGCCCACTTGCCCGGGTTATTTACCTTATTTCTTGACTTCTGCCTAAAACGAGCTCCGAAAACTCCGAAGACCGGGGCGCCGTCACAATCCGCCGCAAGTGGCCCGGAAGCTCTTCGAAGGCCTGCTGCCGCAGGATGGCCTGGGTCGTCAAACCCCATGGGTGGCGCATCTCTCTTTCGGAAGTTGTTTCCCTTTTAAAGGTGGCTCGTCTTTTTGGAAGTTGGCAGCCCCCCCCCCTTTCTGGTGGTTTTAAAGGGACACCAAAAGGAAAAGCCAGCCATTTGGAGGGGTGCCCTTTTCTTTTTTCGAGCTTCTTCGGGGGGGCCCTGGCTACCATGGGATTGGCTTGCAAAAGTTTGGACCATTGGAAGAGTTTGGTGTCCAAAGTGACTCTGCCCGGGGTAAATGGCGCGACCAGCGATTCCCTGGAAGCTCCCTGGAAGCTCCCTCCTTTGTAACCCATTTAAGGCCATGGTTTAAGCAACAGCCGTGCGTTTGCGGCTTCCCTTTCAAGGAGCCCCACCAAAAAAAAAATGACAACTGCGCGTGGGTCTGTCATTTTTTGAAGTGGACGCCCACCACTGCAAAGAAGAAAGACACGCCGGGTTGGGCCACCTTACTTGAAAGAACCCACTCACCCCAAATGCAAAAACACTTTGCCTGTGGTGGACCCGTGACCGGGCTGTGGCTCGGGCCACTGTGCTGGCATCCGTAGAGATGAGCGTGCCGGGGTGCGCCTGGGCTGCGTGGAGCTTAAGGGTAAAACCTGACCTGAGCTGGCGGTGTTTGCCGGGAAAAGAGTGACAAACTGACCTACATTCGTGACGCCTGCCCGAAAGTTGAGTGTGCTTGCCACCTCAGACAAGATCGTGTCCGGTCGACTCAGCAGGCGTAAGTGGGGGCATGGAAGCGACATCCTGAATACTCCCCTTCCAAAAGTGGATTCGGGGACGGCAGCCTTCAACACAGTTCCAAAAAGCTCACTTTCATCAACTTTCATGGGCCAGAAACTGCAACTTGAAAAGTAAGGCCCCTTAACTAAGCCGGCTTGACATGGTCTCAATCGGTCACTGGAGAGAGTGGGCAGCCGTTGTCAGAAGTCTCACCAGCCTGCTCTAGACAAGTCCTTTTCTTGGGTACTCCCCCCCCGCCCTCGACGCTTTCCAGACGACAAATAAAAGCAGACACAATTAAGCATGCGCGCGGGCAAACTGGTGGGAAACCAATCCAGCCCGTACACTGGAACTGATCCGTTCTCATGTAGCAATGGAGGCCCCGGATTTCAGAACGTGGCGCGTGAACGATGGCACAAGTCCAAACCATTTGGGTTTGGCCCCCTTTAACCCACATCCACCGTTTTGTTTCTGCCAACTTTCACCCAGGTTTCCGGGAACGTTCGTTCCCAAGGTGCCGGTCCAAAAGTTCGAGAGAGGGGTCCCTCCAACCAATTTTCATCCAGTGCGGCTTTCACTGGTGGCAAAAAGGTGATCACGTTCTGAAACCTTGACCAGGGGCCAAACAAGGGAAAGCAAAAGGTCAAAAGGTCGGCATAGGGCAAGTGAGCCGCCATAGCTCGTGCACCCGCAACATCATCTTAAAGAGATCAAATGTCGGGGAGCTGGGGCTCGCTTTTGTCCAGGTTGGCGAGAGGGGAAGTGTTGGCTCGGTTGCTTTCTGCTCCAACTTTTAGTGGTTTAATTCAAAAAAAAAAGTTGGCAAAAGCTTAAAGTCCTAACATCCAAGCAACATGCAACAAAGTTGGGCTGGGGTGGCAATTCCCCAGATCGGTGCCGCCAGGCTGCGGAGCCAGCCAGGAAGGCCCTGGAAGGGACCCGGGACCCGGGACCCGATGAGCCCTGCCTTCGATTCCCTAGGCCGCGTCCGGCCCCCGGTCCAAACCATACAACCCACGGAGCTTTTTCGAAAATTTCATGGGGAGGGGTCACCAAGCGCGTTACGTTTTTACCAACGTTTTTACCAAGTCACTCTCCAGCTTTTCCTAAATCCTCCAGTAGAGAGGGAAGAATAAGGGTACCAACTTTTTTCTGTAGTCTATTTTAGGAGGCGGACCCTCCCCACAAATCAGGGTAAAAGAGCACTACTGGGGGGACCTAGTTTCCTTGAACCTAGTCCAAACCAGGACCCTTTTGGTGAGGTTCCACGTGGGCAACCCGTCCCCGCTGCACGTCCAGACTGCCGCGCCTGGCCGTGCTGAAGGGCCCGGCGCACCAGGAGCCCCGCTTCTCCACGATCCGGGCCTTCTCAAAGGCGCTGCCCGGGGACAAGCCTCGGGGCTCAGCACAAAAGAAATCCTTAGAGATCCAGCCGGAAAGTGGGATTCGACCATCCTCATGGCGACAGAAATAAATACATGTATGTATATATATATATATGTATTTATTTATTTAGTTAGTTATTCGTATGTATATATCTCTATCCATATATCCAAGAGACTTCCCTGTATCACAGCGAGTGGAAGCTCATTTGGGTGTGAATCTTGAGCTGGACCTGTTGGTGGACATCATGTGCATATCGGCGATGTCCGCAAGGGTGCCCTTTTCCGGGGATGGGCCGCGCTGTCACTGCCAAACAAGTGGATTGGCCACAAAAAGAGACAAACTTCCGGGGTCTTCCAAACAGCATTCAAGGAAACCGGGCGTGAAGTGGCACTTCTGTGATACCGAGGCCTTCCAAAAACGAATTACTCAAAGGAAGAGGTTCCCTGAGATCAAGGAACTGCGCACCAACACCCTTCTTCCCACAACCCCAGAAAGATCTACATAATACAGAACAGATATGGCCGTGTCATGTCTTTGCTTTAATCAGCAACACGGTTTGTTGGGCATTTTCTCACGTCTTGAATAAACTGATCAAAAAAAAACGTCAAACTTGTTGGTTGCCACTAGAAATGGTCCTAAACAGAATTTCAAGTCCGAAACGGACCTCGGGAAACGAGTTTCTTTAGGGGACGCCCCTTTGGGGTGCAAGTGCAGATTCCCTCGTCTTTTGGTGGTTTGGATCGGTTTGGTGGTTGAGGAGGGGTTTCCCATTTACACTCTGCAAGGAACAGGGTTCACATCCCCAAACCACCAATCCAAGCCACCAAGGGATCACCTGCCCAACGTCTTTAACAAAACGACACGCGAAAAGGAGAAAAAGCGACATGTACTCTGACAGATGCGCAGAGGAAAAATTATGGCCAAGTCTCGATACATGTCCTCAAACGCCCTGACCGACTGCTCCGTCTCGCTGTTGGGGTTCCAAATGTGATCCGCCTCTCCGAAGCGGCTTGATTCGCGCGCGCAGGGGTCAAAAATGGCCTGCGTCTTGTGGCTTAACATCCCAGGTTCTAAAAAGAAGCTGCTCTACATGGGGATCCCCTAGGCCGGTTCTTTATCACTTGGACCAACTCATCGTAGGGCAGTTCATGTTAAAAGCACGACCCCGGAGTCGTCATGAAACACAAAAGCGGGGTCACCCCAAAGCGGGTCACCCAACAGAAGGGTCACCCAGCGCAAGTTTCACCCAATCGGGAGTCACCCAAAAGGGGGTCACCCAAATTGCCAAAGCTGGCACCATGCTTTACACAACTGGAACGCCGGATTGATGACCCCATGGTTTATTAAAAAGGGGGGGGCCAGAGTGAACTGGTTTAAAAGGCTTTGAAGGTAAGGCTGGCAAAAAACAGAAGAAACAATTGGTTCCCTGGTGTTCTGCGCACATTCCTTGCTGGTTTCCTTGTGCAACATGGGCAACTTATTAGCATCAAGGTGAAGTCTGTTGATGTCAGGCAAGGCCCAAACTTTAGTTTGATTAAATCTGCGTCAAAAAAACACCACGATAATATAAAAATAACTAGCGGATTCATTCCCAACAGGTTGCAGGCAGACCCATTGAAGTTTAAGCCTTGAAATGATCCTTCCTGAGTGACCCAGACGGACCCACCATAGACCAAGAATCAAAAAAACCGGAATCATGAACCCCTCCTAATATAGACGAGGGGGGTGTCACCCACAAAAATGATCCGGATTCCCAGTAAAAAGGGGACACCCTCAGAGGACCTGGGGTTAACACTAAACGTCCCCTTTCAGCATCACCGAGCAAAAAGGCAAACTAGGCAAGAGATTGCCAGGCAGTCGTTCATTCAACAGGTTTCCCCGTTTCTTTCCCCCTGGATCGACCAAAACCCCTCTGATCAAGAACCAGCCCGACAAACCAAGCTGCGAAGGGCGCTTGAAGGCTTGGGCGCCCGGCTCCGCCCTGCAGGAGCCAGACGAGCGGAGGCTCTTTGCCCTTCTCTGCCTGCGACTCGCCGCTTCACCAACCGCGAATTCGATATGTCGGGATCAAGAGACCGACCCGTGGCTCGCAGCATCCCCCTCGAAACCAAGAGCTCGCATCGAAGGTCCTCCAGAGTTGAGAGGTTAGAATAAGTTGGTACCGACCTTTTTTTGTGAGTCGATTTTAGTAGGGGAACCGGTGAGGAAGGGCACCAAGCTACTGGGGGACCTAGCCAATCGGGCTCTTTCCGAGCCAATGGGGTTCGGCAGAAAAAGCCGGCCGCCGTCTTGACAGCTATTTACTCGGAACACTTCTCTTAACACTCCTGGGATTCATTCGATGCGCTTGGGTCTGAATTGACCAGTCAAACTTGGGCCATGGGCTCTCGCATTGGGATGAGCCAGCGACCAGGAAAGTGGGGCTCCCCTTTTTGGCCGGTTTCGGGAAATTCTCGAAACCGCCCACGCCTTTGAAGGGAAGCAGTCTTGGCCGGTTTAGGGAAGCGCTCCGTAAATTCAACTGCCTGAGGCGCAGGCCCCCAAGGAGTTGGGGGCCTGCGCCTCAGGAAACACCCGGGAGGGATTGGGGAAGCATAGGGAGCCCTGTAAATTCATTCAAGCTCTCAGTTTCGCGAGGGATGTTCCCGTGGTTTTAGCAACTTGTCCAACCGAGGCCCATCCCAAGTCTCCAAAAGGCAGTTGGGCGAGAGATCTGAAAACAAAGCATCTGCCCTAAGGGTCCGACCGATGAAACTTGAGGCCTCAAAATGCGTCCTTTTGACACACCTAGAGCAACTCAGCATGTGGTAGGACCACCGGGTTCTGCATAGCCCCGGACTCACGGGCGCCGACGTCTCCCGCGCCTCGCACATCCATGCGCCGCCTCGCTGCAAGCTACGGAAGGGCGGGGCGCGGTAGAGGACCTCGCGCTCCCTTGGCGCACCACTGTCTTCCGACGTTGCTCTAAAAACTAGGAAACTCAACACTTGGTTGCCGTTGACCCCCCTGCAAAAAGTGTAAGTTTCTGGAGGTTTAGCGGAAGACACCTTTATTTCCCAAAAAGTTAAAGTCTAAAGATCCAACCCAGCAGCAGTCAAGAACATAGTGGCATCATGTTGACCCCATATTAATCAACCCCTGTTTATCAGTAGGGGGGTGCTTTTATCCAAAAATGATTCCCGCTAAACCCAGGGACACCCCCTATTAATAAACAGGGGAACCCAACCTACCCTCCGGCTTCACATGGAGCCTGGCGGTCCTGGTTTAGATCATGCTTCCTTTAAAGGGAACCCTGGTCATTGGTGGAAGGCTAGGTGTCGTCTTGTTTCCCTCTGAAACCAAACCAAGGGGGGCTACCCCCTAAAGACACACACACACACATTACCGGCTTCGTAATGTCGACGTGGGAATCCGGAGAGCCACGCTCCAGGAAACCCGAAACAAAAACATCCATTTCCCCACGAAAAGGGCCCTCCGGACCTATAGGATTAAAAGGGTCACTACATGGGATTTGGCGTGCGTGCGATTTGGACAACTGAGAGGATGAGGTCCGTTGAAAAGGTTGGGAACAGAAGTGCTAGATGCCCCTCCGTCTTGGTACTGCATGTCGCATAGGTTCTTGTCCACAGCCGAAAATAGTGCAATTTGAGGGAGTGGGGCCCAAGTCACTCTCCAAAAATGAGCAGGTTCAACGGAACCCCACCGGTACATTATAACTTCTGGAGAAGAACAATCAGTGACCAAAATACACCCTCAGAAATGACAACAGCCCTTGACTCAGAAGATTCGCACTGCTTCGCGTGGATGAATCAGCGGACAGCGGCGATGTTCGCTTCAACGCCGTCTCTGAGCAGAACATTGGTTTCTGGAACCAGAGATGTCAGAGAAACCAGACCCTGGGCAATTGAATTTTGCAGGAAACCAAACTCACTCCCGCGAACCCCCCCCCCTCCCCACAAAAATGTATGGATGCCAAATAGAGATGAAATGGATCTTCGGGGATAGGGGAAGGGCCTTCTGGATATTTGGAGGAGTTCATTCCCATTTTCCGCTGAGAACAAGCAAGAACAAGGAGCGGCCCCGATGGGCACGAAACCCCTTTGGGTTGTTTATCAGGGCGAAATGTTGGGCTGCTGCTTTTTTCCTGCTTGGCAACCCAAAACTAACCCGATCGCTTCAAAATCAGCTTCCAGGTCTTTCATTTCCTGAAGTCTCCTGGTAAAACTAAGCCCAGGTAGTATCAAAAAATAGGCCCAAGTGGTATCAACAAGCCCCAGAACCCTGCAAACAAATCTCGGAACCCTCCCACCCCGAACGAGCCTATCCGGGGCAAAGACCCTTTCGCAAATGAAAGATGGTTCAGCCTGAAAAAGCTCTTAGGGAACAAACCTTCGGCACTCTCGAAACACACATCCCTCAAACATGTGCAGTTGTATGCACATATGATTACAATGTACATGTATGTATGCATGTTTGTCTGTCTGTCTGTCTGTCTGTCTGTATGTATGTATGTATGTGTGTTTGTGTGTATGTGTGTATGTGTGTATGTATGTATCTGGGTAGGTAGGTAGGTAGGTAGGTAGGAAGGTAGGTAGGTAGGTAGGTAGGTAGGTAGGTTTGCATGTGTACATGCATGCATGCATGCATGCATGTATGTATGTATGTATGTACGTATGTATATGCATGCATGGATGTATGTGTGTGTATGTGTAAGTATGTATGTATGTATGTATGTCTGTCTGTCTGTCTGTCTGTCTGTCTGTCTGTCTGTCTGTCTGTCTGTCTGTCTGTCTGTCTGTCTGTCTGTATGTTTGTATGTATGTATGTATGTATGGAATGCATGCATGCATGCATGCATGCATGCATGCATGCATGCATGCATGCATGCATGCATGCATGCATGCATGTATGTTGTATGTATGTATGTATGTATGTATGTATGTATGTATGTATGTATGTATGTATGTATGTATGTATGTATGTATGTATGTATGTATGTATGTATGTGTATGTATGTATGTGCATGCATGCATGTGTGTGTGTGTGTGAGTGTATGTATGTATGTATGTATGTATGTATGTATGTATGTATGTATGTATGTATGTATGTATGTATGTATGTATATGTAGCATGATGCATGCATGCATGCATGCATGCATGCATGCATGCATGCATGTGTGTGTGTGTGGATGCATGGATGGATGATGATGGATGGATGGATGGATGGATGGATGGATGGATGGATGGATGGATGGATGGATGGATGGATGGATGGATGGATGGATGGATGGATGGATGGATGGATGGATGGATGGATGGATGGATGGATGGATGGATGGGATGGATGGATGGATGGATGGATGGATGGATGGATGGATGGATGATGGATGGATGGATGGATGGATGGATGGATGGATGGATGGATGGATGGATGGATGGATGGATGGATGGATGGATGGATGGATGGATGGATGGATATGGATGGATGGATGGATGGATGGATGGATGGATGGATGGATGGATGGATGGATGGATGGATGGATGGATGGATGATGGATGCATGCATGCATGCATGGCTGGCTGGCTGGCTGGGTGGGCGGGCGGGCGGACGGGCGGACGGGGAGGGAGGGGAGGGGAGGGGGAGGGAGGGGAGGGGGAGGGGAGGGAGGGGAGGGAGGGGAGGGGAGGGGAGGGAGGGGAGGGAGGAGGGGAGGGAGGGGGGGAGGGGGAGGGGAGGGGAGGGAGGGGAGGGAGGGGAGGGGAGGGAGGGAGGGGAGGGGAGGGGAGGAGGGGAGGGGAGGGGAGGGGAGGGGAGGGGAGGGGAGGGGAGGGGAGGGAGGGGAGGGGAGGGGAGGGAGGGAGGGGGAGGGGAGGGGGGGAGGGGGAGGGGGAGGGGAGGGGGAGGGGAGGGGGAGGGGGGAGGGGGAGGGGAGGGGAGGGGAGGGGAGGGAGGGATCTATGTATGTAATGTAATGTAATGTAATGTAATGTAATGTAGTGTAGCGTAATGCAATGTAATGTGAATGTAATGTATGTGGGTAAACATACACACATACCTATGCGCTTCTAGATATATCTATATCTATATATTGCATCTGTTTGTTTGCATTAGCAATAGCATCTCATGGCATCTGTCACCATAGATCCGGTAGCTGGCGAGTCGAAGGCGCTGGAGCTTCCGGATCTCCAGGAAGGGCGCCAGGTGCTCAAAGATCTGGGGGTGGTAGCTGGGGAAGTAGCCGTCCAGCCACACCTCGGCGGCATTTCGAGTTGAGAGGTTAGAACTTGTCTGAGAGTTCCCTTTGTGGGGTTTCAACAAAACTAGGCCCTCCAGATTTGAGAGGTTAGAATAAGTTGGTACCAACTTTTTCTGGTCTACTTTGGTAGACGAAAACCCTCCCAAGAAAGGGGTGAGAAAGGGCACCTGGAAAACCTGGATTTGGATTTGGGGATGGGGAGAGAAGTGCGTCATGGTGGAGTGGAGGGTCGTCGATTTGTTTGGAGTCGGGAATGGAAAGTGGGGCTTTAAGGGACAGTTGGGTTGAGTTGGTACCACCTTTTTTGGGGCTTTAAAGGTGGTCTTTTCCTGAGGGACACCAAATCCAAACCAATTAAGAACTACTTGAAAGTACCCCCCGATTTGGGTTTTAAAGGGAAACCAAAAAGAATAACCCACCACTTTAGGGTCCCAAAAAAACAACACCCGTGGCTCATATTCGTCCTATGGCAGGGGGGAATTTGTCCTTTTTGGTTTAAACACCAATTAAAAGAGATCCACCATGTTAACAACATCTCAACATCTGGTGGCTATCGCTGCTTACATCTGGTTTCACATTGAGAAACATCCCGCCGTGTCGTTCCCCGTCGGTCTTTTTTGACATGAATTTGCGTTTCGCCTGGCGCCTTCGTCCGCTTTCAAGAGACAAAAGGGTTTCCTGCGCACGGTCGTTTCTGTGCCACTATTTTTTGGAAACGCTGGCAGCGTGGATCATCACGCACCTCGTCTTCGCTTTTTTGGTGGCTTCCTGTCAAACTATTCTTGAATGCTTAATCATGGTTTTGCGTGGGAATTCTCAATGTTTTCGCCGCCGCCATCCTCAGTGAGCAAAAGACACATGCTTCTGGAGACCCAACAATGTTTCAGCCCTGTTGGAACCAAAAGTGGATAGGGGCCACGGACACGGGATGTAGGCGCCCTAGGTGTAGGGTGCGACCCCCATCGATTCCCCGTAGGCGTGTGCTTGGTAAAATAGATGGCCCTGGTAAATGGAATGCGACCACTCCAGCCGAACCAACCCAAAAAGGACATCTATAAGGGGCCACTTTCTATAAATCGTGGGGGTGCCACATTCACACTTAGGCAAAACATGCAGGCCCAACCCCCATGCCACCCAAAACCAAACGTGTTGGAAAAAACACACACGCTAGATTGAACTGGAAACTGACAACCAATGCAAGCAAAACCAATGCAAGCAAAGTGAAACCAGTGATTTGTTTACCTTCTTTCAACCAAACTCACCTGGGGTTGCGCATGCTCAGCCAAACTCACCTACGAGGACACCCCCTTGAAGACTTGTACCGAGGCCCACTTGTACCACTGGTGGGGCAAATAACGGGACACCCTGTTCAATCATGATGAAACTGCAGCGTCGGATCCCCCCAAAAAGGGGTAACTAGTCAGGGCTGTTCAACATGGAGTCGTCTCTGGGGCGAAACCGCTACCAAGGGACTATGCGTCTGTCCTTTTGCGCTCGTGAGGGTAGGTAAACCTCAATGACAGAGAGGTTAGAATAAGGGCACCAACTTTTTTTGTAGTCTGGTATGGTAGGTGAAAACCCTCCCAGCCAAAACAAGGGGTTAAAAAGGGCACCTAGCTGGGGGACCTAGTCTCAACATCCCCAGCATCTGCTGGCATCCGCTCCCGCAAAAGGACCGCCGGGCTGCGTGGAAATCCAGGAACACCCCGTGGAGCGCCAAGGAAGGGCCCACGAAGCTGGCGAGCCTCCGCCTGACACCGAGCCACACCAAACCTGCCACCCCAAGGCCCGAAGGGGCTGGCGCATAGGCGTCCTTTTTGGGGAAATAGATGGCCCTGGTAGATGGTTAAAATCGCCATCTATTTTTCGACCATAACAATCAAAAAGGACACCTATGGGCTTGCGCGATAGGGAATGTTCTCGGGGTTGATTCCTTTTCCATTCTTTTCAGCCATCGTTCTTCTCAAAAACCGGATCCAATTTGCCGGTGTTCTAGAAAGAAGGAGCCCTGAAAAGAATGTGGGAGTTACCCCGAGAAATGTGGGTTGAATGAACCCAGGCGTTCTGAAAGGAAACCACCAAAATTCGATGTCTTCCTTCTTCGGCTCCAGGTGGTTGGCTTGGGAAGAAGGATTTGCGCGCACATGTGTCCTTTGTTTGGCAACCGCCATTTTCGGATACGTCCCCTGGAAAAAATGAGAAAATATGTCCAGTAGTGATAGGTTCCTTTTAAAACCAACAGTGAAAAATAGAAAATATTCTTAACCAAATGAAAGGCAAAGAAAGGCGTACAGACTACGAAACGCTCGCGCCAACTTCAGACACGTGTTCCTTACCTGGATGTTCTACCTGCACGTTTCTTTGCTGAGGGCACCCTTTTCGGGGTTGGTTGCTGCGGGAAACCAACAGGAAACCAATCATTTAGGCCTCAATTTCACGCATACCCTGATTTCTGCATCAACTAGGTAAAATTCCCCCAAAAAGGTGGCAGCTTCGGTTATGTTCTACCTTCAGCTGTATCTTCTACCTGAACGTTCCCTAGATTTCTCTCTCACACAGCTCACCGGTGGTTTCCATTGACACTGCCAGGTCACTGGAGGTTCCAAAAGGGAGATGGAGGAAACCCTCTACCTGCTTCGGAGTTTTCCCGCCTGATCTCTGAGTGGTCATGGCCCCGGCACTGGCCGGGCGCGGGCTGATACGCCTGCAGAAACGACTCCTCCACGAACTCCAGCGCCTAGCAGCGGCAAGGTGGGACGAGGGCTGGTTCTAGGCTGGGTTGTAGGCTGAGTTTGGGGTTATTGCTGCTTTAGGGGCGGCTGAAGATTTGTTCATGGTTGGTTTGGTGCTGGTTTAGGGGCTGCGTGGAGCTGAGTTACGTTGTTGCGTAACGTTGCATTGCGTAACGGTGCTTGCTTGCCTGCCTGCCTGCCGGCCGGCTCGCCCGCCTGCGTGCTTGTTTGGACGTTGGTTGGTTGGTTGAGTTGGCTGGTTGTTGTTTGCTTATTGGTTGGCGGGCAAGGGGACTTGAGGGTTCGTGGAGGAACCTTGAAGAAAAGTACATTGGCCGGGGGATCTCATACCCAACTGCTGGACACATGGAGCAAAGCTCACTTCAGACATTGTACCCCCGAACATCCCAGCCCTGAAAAACCAAAAATCGACCTGGAAAACCAGACCATTTTCTGTCCAAAGCCTGCGTCAGCTAGATCTTTCAGGACACCTGACCACGCCAGTCCGATGGACGTCGGCCGCCACAGTCCGTGTCAGAAAAAAAAGGGGGAAAAAAACGGCCCACCCAATGCCCCCCCCCACTTTTGGTCAGGAGAGCTTTAGGGATATCAGGGCGCCTGTTTGATAGCTCAGGTTGCACACCCCACCAGTTGGTTTAGAAACCTCAATTGCTTAGAACTTGCTGCGTCCCCTGCCTGATCTAAGGTCTCCGCCACCAGCAGGGCGTCGCCGCCCAGCTCATCTTCCGGCAGAGGAACCGGCGCCTACGAGACTACCACCCCCCGAAGCTTCACATGATCCCACCTGATGTTTGATTTTCTCCAGGAAAAAATTGGGAGACATGTGTAAGAAGGGCACCCTTAATGGATGACTCCCCTATGGATGAGGGGAAGAAGTTGGCGTAAGGGTTTGACTCTTAATAAAACCAACCAAGGGAGCCTTCCCATTTCGGAGGGCCGGATCACGGTTGGAGTGTCGCCTCTAAACCTTTCCCGCGCAGATGTCCGGTGGACAAAAATGGTGGCCTTGGAGGTTTTTTGCAAAGATTCTAGGCAGGGGATCTTTGAAAGCTGGCCTTGGGAACATGTTGGTGCTGCAAAGACTCCTTGCGTAGATATTTCCTGTATTCTTCAAACCTTTGTTTTAGGGGAAAATGAATGGTTTCCGGTGGTTGTGCTTTTTGCGCGTTGCTCATTTCTATGGCGCGTGTTGTTCCTGCGCTACTGTGGCGCTCCTGCTGCCGGGTCGGAGTTCTCATTTGCAGGAGTCGTGTCTGAGGGCGTGCTTTATGTTGTGTTTGTATGTCGCTTTGCTGCGGAGCATCAGGCCATGACTCTGAGTTTGATGAGTCTTGATTGATGATGCGTGTACAGCTTTGCACAGGTTGACGTTTTGTGCTTGTATGATGGTCCGCGCGGTTGGTTGTATCCGGGTTGACATGACTTGTCCCAAATCTGGGTAGAGATGTGGTTTTTCAGATTTACTCCTCCTTCAGACGGTGAATGTGTGACCTTGGTGGAAAGTAATTACAGTTTTAGTGAGGAACCCCCCGAAACAAAAAGGGACGGCCCGAAATCCACTGAATCACCGGGGTTACGCCCCACAGCCAGCAAATCAAGGATGTGGGTCTGTCTTTTTTTGAGGGAATCCTCTTCTGAAGGGAAACCAAGAGGGAAACCACCATTTTCAGGGGGTCCCCTAAAAAAGACACGCCCATTTAAAGGAAAACTCCACATCCCCCAAAAAACGGGGGGCTTCCTCAGGCGTTTCAAACAACCCCCAACCAAGGCCCATCACGCCAAGACAAATCGAACGCATCGGATGAATCCGGCGCCTCGTGCAGCCTTCGCAAGGGAAGCTGGAAGTTCTCCATCTGCTGTAGCACGCAAGGGTCCGGACGTGCCAGGATCAGGACACACGCCTGCGACAGGAAACCCAGAAGGGATATGTCCAGAAGGGCCATAGCGGGGCTCCTGGATACACGTAGGCTTTTCAACTGCGAAGGGAAACATGTGAAATGGAGACAAGACACTGTATTATAGCTAGGGCCTGCGGGTGTTTCTTTGAAGAATCCTGGGGTGCGACAAACGAGTGCAATAATCGAGGGATCCGCAGAGGCAATTAAAATGTTGTCTGGACCTCCTGTCAAGGGTTCCTGGCTGGCATGTGAGATCACCAGGTCTGCAAGTTTTAATATAATCGCAGAACCTGAAATAAGGGATCAGCAAGAAAAGGACCTTCACCACAATGAGGACTTGTTTTGCACAACCGGGTACGTAGCACCTTACATGAAAGGCTACTGCCGTAAACACTTCTAGGAAATATACCATGGGTCAAAATCCCGTACCCCCAGTGAACATCCCAATCCCCACTAAAATACACTAAACTGGGTGGTGCACCTGGCCCAAAATGGGATCCCATTGGTTTTGACAACCACGGCCCTCTGTGTGTGTCATGGTCAAACCTCCTGTGGGCCATCGTCATGGATCCCAAACAACTTCCGCAAGTTTTGTTTGGTAAAAAAAAAAAAAAAACAATTGCCTCATCCATGTTGGTTGACCAGCAGTCGTCCGAATTCCAGCTCATTCATAGAGATTTTGCAGTCATGCCGGGAAGGGGCTTGATAGGGGTTCCGGGGAATCCTGTGCTCAACAGGCTCAAACGAAGAACTTCCGCAAGTGTCCAAAATCCCAGGGGCTTCATCGCAGTGAACTGGCTGGGTTGTCAGCGCATGAGGGAACGACCACCCAAAAAAGAGCAGCTCCTATGCTAGGTCCTCCAAATTTGAGAGGATAGAAGAAGATGGTACCCAATTGTTTGTAGTCGATTTTAGTAGACAAAAACCCTCCCAACCAAAGAAGGGGTGAGAAAGGGCACCTATCTGGGGGACCTAGTATGGTTTCTTTGGAGGGAATCTCCTTCTGGTTTCTTCCCAACACCCAGAGAAAAACCCAAAAGGGGCAATGTGACCATGGCACAGCCTTCAAAACCCGCCGAGAATTCCGCTGCAAGATGCCGGCTAAAATCTCGAACACATTTCCACGAACATCTCCAGTTCTTTTGCTGTTCTGCACGTGTCGGAACAACTCTCTCTGCGATACCAAATCAGATTTCAATCCAACCGTGACCACAGGGGGAATTCTCTGGTATCACAGCAAATGGCCCTAAAGCCTGTGTCTAAGGCCATACTGCGGATGGGCAAAATCCTGCAACAGCTGGGATGAACAAACTTCTGAATACTGGCATGAACCAGCTGCCAACTGGTGCGGGATTGTGTTCATCCACAGCACTTTCCACAACCGTGGTTCAGTGCGCAATTTCGCGCAAGCATAAAGGGGACCTCAGGAAAAAAGGACAAAAGAGCACGCTTCTCATTGAAAGAGGACCCAGGATCAATAGACCACTGGTGAGAATCCCTTTTTCCGGTGCAATTAAACCACGTTAGGGAGAGACCGGATCACTCGCAAAAACACTCCCAAAAAAAAATCGCCAGGCTCCACTGAAGTGTCGGCCACCCGGGTGCTCCTGCTCCTTGGCTACGCTCCTTAGCCCGGCCAAATCGCTCAAACACGTTGCCAGTCACAGCTTGGAAGACCATTTTGGAGTAAAAGTAGATGGGGCTCTTTAAGTGCATAGGTGTCCTTTCAGGGGAAATAGATGGCCCTGGTAGATGATTAAATCACCAGGTAAACCCGGGCCACCTATTTTTCTACCAAAACAACCAAAAAGGACGCCTATGTTTAAGTGGGTAAGAGGGGATGACTAAACCAAAATGACAAACAGACCGAACTACGTTCATCCGATTGTGGATGCTCATCCACCGTCAGTGGGGCAGGGCTTAGCTGTTGGCCCATTCCTATGGGGGAGGGAATGGAAAGAACATCAGCAAATGAACGGCCGAAGCAAGCAAGCTTTAGGGTTTGCTTGAGAGGTGTTATCTAGGGTTGGTTTGGGGGTGGGTTTAGGGCATTGGGAAAGGTCTCGGGTCTTGTTCAGGGTGGATTTAGGGCGGGTTTAGGCTGGGTCCAGGGTTGGTTTGGGGAACCCTTCTTGTAAAAGTGGTTCCCAAAACATCAAAAAGTGGCACAAAGCATCATCGACGTATGCACCTCAAAGGGAACCCGAAGCCTAGTTCTGACAACACCCCAAGTCTGCGGATGAGCGAGCGGCTGTGAATTTCTTCCCTAGCCACTCCTGAAGCCGGCAGCGCCCCACTACCATGTGTTGTAAATTGGATGCTGAACTGCTATTTTCCCTGGTGATTATTGATTACGGCAATGAACGAGTTGAATGCTGAACGGGGATCATGGTCTAGCAATTCTCAATCTTTCTTGTGGTCCCCGCTTGGGGAATTGAACACTATCTGCGCCTTCAAGAGCACCCAGCAAAGCTTACACATCACCGACTAATCACTATGAAACCCCAAATAGGTTTGTCTCCGAATGGGAAAACGAAAGGGATACTATGATTCTTGGCTGCGTGCTGAACTGACCAAAAGGGGTTGCAACAACAAACACACGCATAAAGCCTGCAACGATCCCAAATCCGCCCCTCAGGAACAATTCTCGGAACCATCTCAGAGGGGTTCTTACCTTCTGAGGTTGTTTACCTTCACAGAGGTTGATGCTTGTGCTTGGCTTCGGCAACTGCTCATCGATGAGGCCCTAGTTACATCCTTTTTGGCGCCTGCCCCAAAGTCAGAGGGGGCAAACACTGCCGGGTTCTGTGCAAAGGTTGGCACCACACGACTTAGGGCAATCCGAATTCAGGATTACCTGAGTAGCGGACCTTGGTCTTGGTGTATCAGTGACCTCGCTGGGACTTTTGTGCAACACACAAAAAACGCGTGGGCATGTGTGTCCGCATCACCCTGGGTCAAAACAGGCCTGCAAATCTCAGTTTCAACACACTGCGCAGAGCTTTCCAAGCATCATGGAAGTGAACCGGAGGCCTTTTCAAGGGGTTGATTATAGTCTTCTTCCAAAAGGGTGGCTATGAAGCTGCAATCTGCAAACCTGTCAAAATACATCCGCAAGAACATATATGGCTGTGGTTGAAACCCTCCAACACCTGCACATATTATTCACCGAACTCCGTGCCCTGCGGGGGAGAGAACAAAAAAAAAAAAAAAAACGTCGGCCAAGTCAGGACCACAGGTCGCTTGACCTCTCCGCTGGCTTGGGGTTTCGGGGCTTCAAGTCCTGGACTTCCAAGGGGCGAACTGAGGCCTCAGGCCTCCCAAGTTTGCCTCGCAGGCCACGTGCGGGAGCCGTTTGATGGGGAAACCCTTTTTATTGTCACAGGACCAAAGAATCGACCGCCCAATTTGTTCCTCTCCATGGCTGTGCCGTCCAAAAAGCCCTCAACCAGTCACCGGTGGCTTCAACGACCCCAGGTGCCAGGCGGCAAGATCTCCTGGAACGCGCTCACAGCCTGAGGTCACGCGACCGGATAGAAGCAACAGCCGACGCAGGTTCCTTGGAGGTTCCTTTAGGGGTCTTTAAGTGTTCTTTCATCTTGAAGATGTGTCGCAAGTGGGCCAGGTTGACTACTCAAACAGGGTTTTCGCCGCTTGGGGCTTTCCTCGGAACCCTTGGTTTTTCTTTTGGAGGTAACAAAAACCTCCCGGACAAGAACCGAACTCTGATCCCATCCAAGCGCCCTTGAGAACAGAGTTTTTAGTTTCTTTATTGGCCAAGGTAGGCTTCAACCGGTCAACTCCCCAAAAGGATAACCCTGAGCGTAAAGCCTACCTGGTAACCAAATGCCATGTTGAGGGCCCAAACCCATCGGGAGCCTCTTCCCCTCTCGTCTAGACAGCCCGCCCCCCGCCCGTCAGATGCAACAATTCCTTGTTGAAACATTTCAAAGGGCGCATTCGAAAGGACTCCTCACACTGCTTCACATGAGTGTTTCTCAAAATAGTGGACCCGGTTGGTAGGTACCGTTTTCAAAGGGAAACCAAAAGGAAGCCAACCATTTCAGTGGACCACTACCTTCACTTCAGAAGCCTCCTGGACCTTCTGAGGTTGCAACACCTTGGCAAGGTCGCCACATTTTGCCAGGAATCTTGGAGACGTCTCGTGTGCATGTTGGCCACCGCGCAACATAAAGTGGATCCCTCGCCCAACCAGATCGATAAGGTTGACCGCGGAGAAATAAACCCGCCCTATCATCAGGGGGGTGATTCGAATCCCCACTCAAGGGGACACCCCCCGGCTAATTCATCAACCAGGGGTCTATTGATCTGGGGTCAACATTTCTGGGACTTTTTCTGCTGGCATTTGAGCAACAAAGAACATTTGAGCATGCCTTCCACAAAGTGGTTTGGCACCCTCTTTCGGAAGGGTTGCAAAAGGACATCTGTGAGAGTTGTCACAACGTTGAAGCCTTGGCGCAAGACGGTGAATAAAATCTCTCTGTGCATGTATAGTCGTATGACGCGTTGCCAGATTCCAATACTTCACGCAGCTTAAAATGTACAAAAAAAGCGCACTCCCACAGCATCCTGCTCTCCAAAGGTTACCCTCCACTGACAAAATCAATCCCCCCCAACGCATTTGTGTTTGGCACACTTCCGGAAACTGGGTGGATAACTGGTTAGACCTTCTGGAAAGAAAAACCGCCAACCCAATCAGGTCGCACCAAGGATCATCCATGAAGACACCTGGTTCTTCTTTCTTTGCACCAATAGACCTGCCGAACTTCCTGACCCTCACCTTGGATTTCGCTTCGCTTCCCAGAAGCCGTGGACTCCATCTGGCGCACCACGTCCAGGTCGATGATGATGTACTCCGGGCTCAGCCGCGCCTTTGATTCGAACGGCGCCTTTTCGCCCTTTGGCTTCTGGGTCATAACCCCTTTGCCATTTGGCCATGGGTAACCTACGCCGATCCCATTTCGGGGCAAATGAACACCCATGTGCCACCTACTTTGATGTTCACCAGGGGTTTCCTAGGTCTGGACCCACGCAGGCAAAAAAAAACAAAACCACCACCCCTCCCTGCGGGGGGGAAAAAAACACACACACACACACACACACACACACACACACACACACACACACACACACACACACACACACACACACACACACACACACCCACCCACACGCACACACACGCACACACACGCACACACACACACACACACACACACACACACACACATCACACATCACACATCACACATCACACATCACACATCACACATCACACATCACACATCACACATCACACATCACACACACACACACACATCACACACACACACACCTACACACACACATCACACACATCACACACATCACACAGGCACACACACACACACACACACCCTTAGGGGTCTAGTTTGCGACGACCCTTTTTTCGGGAATTTGTTATTTTAGGGGAGGGTGTAACCCAAGAGTGGTCCGACAAGAAGGGGGCCGAACATCGGCCGCCAGCGTGAACCATTCCAGGGACTTGGATGTTTTGTTCGGGAATCCAGCACCAAAGTGTACATGTTGCAGGTTCTTGAACACCTCCGCACCTGAATCCAAACTACCTCCTTAAATATTCCGCCAAATAGATGTGTCTTTCAGGGTGCCCCGCTTTTTGCCTGGGTTCTTAGAGGGAAATCAAAGGACCCCTAAAAAGGAAGACACACCCTAATATGCGGTTTGGGGTGGAGTATTTCAAGTCATTCCATGGACCCATGGCATGGAAGCGAAGCATCACCCCGCCCCAAAAAAGTTACGATGTTTCGATTGGCCCAAAAGGTGACTTACCCCTTAAAACTCCAAGCCCTGGGGAAGTTAATCTTTTACAGACATATAGCCCATGTTACCCAAAAAGTTGACGAAAAGTTGTGTTTTTAAGAGGTAAGGTGATGTTTAAAACCCAACCGAAAGAGAAACATGCAGGGGACCTTAGTCTAAGGTTTTAAGGCTGAATGCATACGCCCGTATATGAACAGGTATGAACCCCGGGTTTATGGGTTGATTGACCATTCGTTCCGGCATAACTATGGGAAATCAGCCCCCAAAGGCTCTAAAATGGCCATGGGCTCGGCATCTCGCGGGCGCGCCTCACAGCTCACCGCGTGGCTGAACCCGAATTCTGGCAGCTCCTCGTCTTTTTCTGCCCGCTTGGGCGACTGGTACGCCACGTGCCGCCTCGAAATCCCGGCCGCAACTTGCAAAAGCGTCTGGCTGTGAGTTCTAATAAGGAACTGCCTAGGTGGGATGGACATGAATCCACACCAAGTTTGATCCGAATCGAATTAAACTTCATACCCATCTTTGCGCTTCCAGGTTCCATGTTTGTCTCCGGCACTAAGGCACTAAGGCATCTGGGAAGGGTCTTTTCAGGTTCATGTGGCCCTTCCTGTGGGAGTGCCAATCTCACGTCCCCAGTCGCCGCAAGCCTGTGATACCAAAGTTGGTCATCCGCCACGCCTTTTCTATGGCCAGTGGTCCGGCCCAATTTTGTACGGACTGAGTCGTACCGGTATCATGGGTGAGCAATGAGGTAAAGCCAGCCGACACACCACACCCAACTACTTGACACCAAGTGGTACGGCAAAAAGCGAGCCCCCCCCCCCACATGGGAAAGCACAGCACTTGTTCCGGACACTGGTTTGATTGTTTCGGTTACTGAGCGCCCTACGTTTTCCTAACCGTACCAACATCTATTGTACAAATGAATTGATCATATACCTTACATTATGCATGTTCAAACCGACATCTATGGAGACATGTAAATGAACAAGCTCATCATGAAACAAACAGGGTCAATCACCCCTTAAAACATCACCCCACCAAGGGACACTCACTTTTCATGGGCCGAAAAGGTGATGTTTCAAACTAGCAAAAAGGGAAACATAGGGACCCCTGACACAAGGAACTGCAACAATGACAAAAAGGCACCAAATGGTACCCCAACTTGTTGTTTGCCACTATGGTCTTCACAAAAAGTGTCTTCACAAAAAGTGCGAAGTCCATGAACTCAGGAAGCAAGATTTTGGGTTGACGGGGGGGGGTTAGCCAATCCAAACGTAACCATCCCCCCAACCCCCTCCTCCCATCACCGACACTCAAGTCCGGGCCAACCCCCCCGACCCGAGATTTTTCGTCTCTCCGAGCAACTGCGAGGAGAAGTTCTCGAGCGCCTGCACCAGCTGGCGCATGGAGGCGAAGTAGAGGTACGCGGCCCCCAAGATCCAAACCTCCGCCTGCGGGGTCGGGGCACGGGCCCTACCCATCTACGAACCATGTTTATCGGCCTTAAGAATTTGGCCCAAATGTAAACAAGAGGTTTACTCCCCTAGTTCAAGGAAACCCGAAAAGCCAAAAGGGGGGTCCTCTATAGTGACTTTTTTGGGGTTCCGTACCCACCCTAGTCATTTTTATCGGAGTAAACTATCAGTATAATGGTGAATTTCCCTTGCATTCATTTGGTCGCACATTTTGAGGTCCAAAATCGTCTAAAAATTGGGAGCTTTGAAGGGGAGGAGCATTGCAGTCGCCTCAGGGTTCCTTTGCCAAAAAATGTGAAGGGCAACAGATTTGGGTTTGTCTTCAATCAGGAATCGGACCCCCAAAATGACTACGTTCCTTTTGTTTTCCCTTTCAAACCTCTCCAAAAAGACATCCTCAAACACGTGGGTCTGTCTTCTTTTTGAGGTGCCATTTTTGGTGGCGTTGAAGGGAAACCAAAAGGATCACAGAAGCCGTTTTGGGCCGGTCCGATTCCATTTTTCAAGACACACCCACTGGTGTTTAGTTTCCCTCCGATTGCTGGTTTGGAGCCCGGTGGTTTGGTGTTAAGGGGTGGTATTTCCCATTTACCATTTACCCACAAGAGTCAGGGCTTCAAATCCCCACTCCAAACCACCACTTGCGGCTTGAGCTTGCTTTTTGCCCACAAACCACCTGGCTGCAAACCACCCCAAAAAACAACACCACTGCTCCAAGCCACCAGTTGCCCAAAACACCACCCGGCTCCAAACCACAAAAACCACCGCTCAGCCCCTTAGAGCCGGCGCCTGGGCGCCGATGCGGTTCAAGAACTCCCGGTCGCAGGTGGTGTGTAGCCTGTGGCTGAGTCACACGTGTATATATATATATATATATGTAAATAATGAATACACTACAGAATCAATATATTACGTATATATTCGTACTTGTATATATGCACAGATGGATTTACATGATTGTTGTATTATTCTCATGTATTGGTGCATTCAGTTATTCAATGTATTCATCTATTATGAATCGTGTGATTTATCTAATGTGTTTATTCATTTACGTATCTATTTACGTCTATATATATATTTATCCATGTGCATGTGCGGTCTCTCTGGCTGACACGCTGTTCCCAGCCCCTTGAACGGACTCTACATCTCGTGTGAGAGGTTGGGACTGGCACAAGCAAAAGGAGGATCGGCCACAAAAACGCGAGCATCAGCACTAGCACCGGCATCAATCCAGATAACGCACCGTCAGCACAGCTTCCCAAGAGCAATACCACGGTTCTGACGACCCAGACTACATGGCGTTTCCTTACGTGGTCCTGTCCGCCATGGAATTCCCGGTGTCGCGAGCCTCGCAAGCGATTCGCGCTTTTGGACCTTTCACCGACAGAGCGACAGTGTGGGTCTCCTTTCATGTCTTCAGCAACAAGGGCTTTGCTGGAAAAAAGGGCCGAAAAACCTGATGCCGCATCCGGCAAGCGTGAGGCCTGGCTACATCCCTTCAGGAAGTCGGCCTAGTCAAAGCTGCGAGTGTAAATGATAACGTACTCAGGGTAGATCTGAGCGTCATCGAAAACCACGAACTCTCGATAGGTGTCCACGACCGCTTCCCGATCACCCAGAACCGCTTGAAATCTCCTGGGCCGAACAGGTCCGAGCAGAGAGTGGGTTTCATGAGCTGAAAGCCGGTGGCTGAACAGGTTTTGGGAAAACATGAAACACCTACCCATCCCCTGTTTGCCCTGTGTAACCCTTGTAGCAACAAAGTACATGGGCGAGCTAGCACCCGGAAAACCCGAAAAACAACTCTAAAGCATAGGTGTCTTTTTGGAAAAATAGATGGCCCTGGTCAATAGAACCCAACCCATCTAAACCAGCACCTTCTATTTTTAATCAAACTAACCTAAAAAGGACACCTATGCTCAACCGTGTCCACCTGCCATGGCTCCCTGTGGCCAGGGCATCCTCGATCCTTGGGATGTTGGACTCCGTGATGTAGAACCTCAGAGGATGGATATGGCTGCGGGTCAAAAATAGGGTAACCCCAAAATGGAACCCTGGTAAATGGAACCAAGGACTAAAACCTGCGGTCCAATTCCTGGTGGTTTAATTTTGACCCACACCCATATGTGTCCAACAAAACGGGATTTGGACCCCTCAACTGGCGGTTTTTCTTTCTCGTTTCATTTCAATCATCCCAACAGGGTCCCGTCAAACTATTTGAAGAAAAAGAAGAAGAAGGGAAACGGACATCCCTCTAACCTCTCTAAAACTCTTGAAAGTCAAACGGTATGGCTGTGAAGCGCCAAGGGGCATGTTCCCCAAAAGGGTGCGGCAAAGCAAGAGCGCCCGCTTCCCGGCAAAGAGGCCGACGGGATCCTCCGAGGAATACTCGTCGCTCTTGCTGGACGCCTCCGCCATGTAGGCGCCTGGTCTCAAAAGTGAGCCGACATCTGTGATACTGTGGAAGGACCAAATCCGCGCCAGGCACCACTTGGCTGTGGGTCAAAACGAAGTGCCCAAATTGGAACCCTGGTAAATGGAACCAAGGAGGGGGTCTGCTGGTGGTTTAGTTTAACCCATACCCACTTGGTTGGCTTATCAACCAATAGGGTTCCCCGCATTCCAACTGCAAAATATTGTCCATCCACAGTAGCAAAGAGGGATTCCTACCCCAAAAAACTTGCCGCACTTGAAGAATGAAGTGTCAAACAAATTAAATTCAACATATCACTCCGCTGGAATGCCAGGGGCCTAAAACACTTGCTGTAAAGAAGCCTGATTTTTAGGGACAGCCTGTTTGAGTGCCATGGTAATCCTTCAGTGAATTATCATCCCTAATTTTTACCAGCTAAATGGTGATCCTTTGTTGACAAAGCCCTCAAAATGACAACTTCTTCTCGGTGTTTCACATTCGCTGAAGTACAGACCGCTTTTGGGGCACCGAGTGTCCTCTTAAGTGGGGTGCACATAGTGACAAGGGGGAACGCCTGTGGATGGACGAAATCCGTTCGCACCACCTAAGAAGTCCTGGAATGACTATCTTCGCTTGTAAATACAAACAATGGTTGCAACCATGGTTTCCAAGTGGTGCGAACGGATTTCGTCCGTTAAAGGTGTGCAACCATATGCTATAGCTGCTACAGGTAATGTTGACCCCATAATAATCAACCCCAGTTCATGAAAATATGGGGGGTGGTCCCCTCCAAAAGTGGTCTGATTCCCCACTAAACCCAGGTTGACACCTATTGATGAACAGGGGTCAACATTACATGGCAGGCCCCAGCCACTGCACGCCCGCCTGCCCCGAACATGGTGCCCACGTTGGAGCCCACGCGGCTCATGTCGAAGCCATTCTCTCCGATGCCCAAGGCGCCGCCGGGGCAAGAGCCGTGAAAGAGATACGCTTCCTCGGGCGCAGTGGGGTAGGGAGACCAAGAGTCGAAAACCGCAATGTCGGAAATGGTTGAGGATGACCCACCAAGATGGAACTTCGAATTAAAAAAGCCACTTTCGAGCCTTCGCTTTAAAGCCCCCCCCAAAAAAAAGGGCGAGAGCACCCTGAAAAAAACAAAAAAAAACGGCCCGGCTGGGATCCACGAGGCCTCGGAAAGGGGTGCAAGAGGGAGCCAGCCGCTCCCTTCTCATAGCTCCCCCCTGGTCCGTGAGGAGCTCGCCCTCTTTCCACCCCTTGTTACACCAGAAGAAGGAAAAAAGGGGTTCTTTGCGGCCCCCCCCATGAAACACGAACAGGACCAAACAATCAAAACCGAAACGCGTGCCAAAACCCAGAAATGTTCATGGGCTGCGTGGGACGCTAGGACAAACATGGACGAAGTCAGACTAAATCAAACATGGACAAACACGGACCATGGGCTAAGTCAGACTAAAACAGGCTATACTGAGTACACCTGACATGGGACTTATGGGGCCAAGAGGAGAATACGCAATTGAGCATGTTTTCAAGTGTGTAACTTGCACGCTAAGGGTGTCTGGGATTGCCTAATGACTTGGGAACATATTCTTTCTTGCGATTCTGGACCCCTGTGCAAAAAGTGAATAACTTTCTGCGGGTTTAGTGGAAAACCCCTTGATTTCAACCAAAAAGTTAAAGTCTAAAGATCCAACCAAAGAGCAGTCAAGTTTGAAGATCCAACCTTGGAAAAGGCGTGGTGTCTTCACCATAGGTGTCCTTTTAGGGGAAATGGATGGGTTTCCCTGGTAGATGCTTAAACCACCAGGTAAACCAGGAATCGCGATCCATTGGTCTACCCAAACAAACCAAAAAGGACACCTGGGCAAAGGGGATGACCTCACAGAAATGACCAAACCAATTGGAACCCTGGTACATGGAACCAAAGACGAAAACGTGCGGTCCAATTGCTTGTTGTTGTTGTTGTTGTTGTTGTTTTTTTTGGGCGTGACCCGTACCCACATGTAGTGGGGCCAAAGGCTCATTCAAGTCCGAGGTTAGCTCCATACCGGCATTGCTGGTCTTAAAGCCGCCACTCCCTGGCATCTCCTCCATGAGCTTCGGTCGGCCTCGTGGTCCCAGAAGGGTGTGCCAGTTGGAGGGTGCCATGTTTTCTTAGCTTGGAAGCAGTTTGAAAGCTCCGTCATGAGTCAGCAGGGTTCTCCATATTTCTCCTAACATCTATCAAAGGACGCTCGCTTCAGTTTTGCTCCAAAGCTTTAAAACCATTCAAAGGAGCCTGGAAGGCTGGGTTTGAGAGGCTTGAAAATTTGGATGCTCTTCCCTTCTTGGATGTAGGGGGTGTCTTCTTTCAAGATTGGGACTTGCTTTACAGGCCTTCGAAGCTCGTATGTGTGTGTGTTGACATAAGGGGGGGCTCCCGTAACATGTGTGGTTTACCAACCAGTATTCATAGTGGAGTCATCCATCACCATTGGTTCGAATGTGGACTTTGTCCACGGTGGCTGACTATCCTTCAAGTACTGGGCTGCCTCAGATCCCCTGCTAAAAGTTTAACTTTTAGTGGGTTAAATGGAAACTAGCACGAAACCAAATAAAAGCCTAAAAGGCTAAGGAACCGGACGATTCGCTGGGGGCCACCAAGAGTAGAGGGGGCTCCGAGGAGCTACCTCTTCTCTGGTTTTTGGCATGAGACTTTATACGGCTCCAAAATTTCGGCCCAGCCTTTCACAGCGAGTTCTGCGCGTTTCTGCTCGAAGCGTCGCCACATCTTGCTGTCTTCCATGCGAATGACTTGCGTCACCACCAGCCTGCTTGGCATGTCGCCGTCTTTGCGATCTCTTGTAGCTTTATTCTTGAAGGTCGCATCCAGCAGACTCTGCATCTTCCCCCTCTCATCCACCGACAAGCTGATCTTCTCATCAAAGTCTTTACCCAAATCCCGGTTCTTCCAATAAGATGGAACCCCAACCGGGACCTGAACTGGTGGCCCGACATCCTCTTCTTCCACTTCGTGCCAGGCCTTGGGCAACTTCCCGTGAGCGCCTTGGACGGGCGTCTCGCGCTTCACTTTCCGGAAGGCTTTGGACGCAGCATCGGTGCGCTGGGCGCGGCTGTGCTTGGGCTCCTCACCCCATGCATCCTGAGGCTTGTGAGAGAAATGCTTCAACACCTCCCAACTGATCTTCGTACACTGGGAGAAGAAGAAGTAACGATATGGCACACTCAGCAGGAAAAGGGTGCAGACCACGTAGACGCAATACGTCATCCACCACGGTCTCGCTCGGCTATTATCCGTGCCCTCCTTCAGAATCACCATGACATGGCTTTTGTATGGACACCCAATGAGATCATTTGAGTCTTTGTCCTGATGCGTGTCTGTGGTATTGTCGCTGTAAAATCTCTCCCGGCAGTTCGACAAACGGGACTCCTCCTGATCATCGATGGGGTGGTACTCCAGCGGCATCGCGCATAGCAGAAAGAGCCTCGAAATGGGCTTCTTCTTGCTTGCCTCCAAATCTTCCTGCTCACCGTCATACATCAAATGGAACATGGCAATGGTCTGCTCTGGTGAAAGGGTTTCATCCGCGAAGCCATTGATGTCATACTGTCCAACAGCACTGTGGGTGTTCACCCTCTTCCTCTCAACGCGTTCTCTTCCATCTTTGTCTCTGCTTCCTTGATTCAACCCCCCCCCCCCCCAAGTTGGACTTTTCGTGGGGTACTCCCCAGATCTGGAATCCAACAACCATGTGTAGAGGAGTTTCCTTTTGTTCGATCTTTTGGGTTCCATGTTAAAAGGGTATCGGACCGAGGCGCTGTGCTCTTCATAATGATAGTTTTGGATCGACCACCGGATCAAAGGCCGGGCTTCTTGCAGCTCTTTCACGTAGTCTTGAAACTGGGTCTCACTCAAAACCTCAGCCGAGTGATAGAACAAAGGAACCCTCTCTCGGGTTGACCAGTTTTAGCAGGCAAGCCGCTTCAAACCACAAGGGAAAAAGGGTGCTGAGCTGAGAAGCCCAAGAAAGATACTTGGAGGTCTTGCTCCCACACAAGGCTTCTAAGACGTGAAAGAAGTAGAGGAAGACGCCGATCCCTAGAAGCGTAAGCCCGGTGTCTCGCTCCACTGGCAGGATGTGGGCCCAGGCGACTAGGGCTCCAAACAGGATCATCCCCAAGCCCAGAACTCCAAAGGCAGCGCTGGCCAGGGTAGCTAGGCTCAAGCTCTCTTTGTCGCCTCCCATGGCCGATCAGAGCCGATCTGCCTCGAGCCCCTTCAGTTCGAGCCAAATGCCTCAGTCAAAACCTCGCTTGCTTTCTGCGAAGCCCTGCTAAAAGTGACTAACTTTCAGTGGTTTGATGGAAAACCCACTAGCTGGCAAAAAGTGTTTCAGCCCTAACATCCCTTGGCAAAATGCACCAAAGAAACGGCCAAGCACTTGACTCCCGAAAGAATCAAGATCGCTCAGGGGCGAAGATTGCTCGCAGGCGCCACAATGGGGAGAGCCCTTGAAAAAGCGGCCACGGACGGACTTGTTCCCCATGGAAAACGGCTTGGGTGGCAAAAAAAATGTTTTGAAACCGACCAAGGACGTCTGATTGGTGGCAAAGGGCAGTTTTCAATTTACCCTTTACGAGAACCAGGGGTCCAAACCTAACACCATCCCAAGCCACACAATTTGTCTTGGATATGTTTTGTCGGGAACTCAAAAGGAAAACCGCACTTTGGGCTTTGGGGGGATCCCAACGTAAGAACGGCCACACCAAACCTTGATTGCTGTTGACCCTTCTGCAAAAGTTTTAATTGGGAGTGGGGTGGGGGTGGGGTGGGGTGGGGTGGGGTGGGGGTGGGGTGGGGCCTATTTTAAGGGGAAATTCAAGAAAAGCCACGCAGACTACGGTAATCTCCAGACCACCATAGACTTGCTAGTTCCCAGCAGGAGATGAGAAATGAAATGCCCCCTATAAACCCTTCAACCCATGGTTTCCTTCAAGGCAATCCCCAAAACCGGTCCATTGCCAAAACCCAGCAGGTCAAATGAGGGAATGACCGTCTTTTTCACCATCTAATTTCCTGCAAGGTTCATTCCCCAAACGCCTCATTCCCGGTCGGCCTCGGCCCTTCCCTACCTCACAAGCAGGGATCCTTACATTGTACACCTGAACATTGCCTTGCAAATGGTGGTTCTCTTTTTATTTTGGTGTTGAAAAAGCCAAATGTTTTTCAAATGGTTGCAAAATGTATCTTTCTAAGCCACAATACCCCATTCTGAAGAGCTAACCCAATTATCCCCCAAAATGGATGCAACAACAATTACCATCGAAGCAGTCCACCCAAGCAAGGCTAAAACTCAACTGTTCCCATTCTCTCCCTTTGCCGACCTTGCACTTTGTTGTTTTGCCCACATCCATGTCATGAATCATTGCCAAGGCGACACTGACAAACATAAAGCCCGTGGCTTCACAGCAAGCATTGAAGCATCCTCCTGATGGCACCGCGGGCCCCTCATCAGCCAACCCACTATTATGCTCGCCCGTGAGCCAATTTTCCACAAGCTTCCAATTCACTTCCTCATTCATTCAATGGGGGCCCACGCAGCCCACGCAGCAGATGTTATCACTTTCGGGAGGAAAGACCGGAAATCCTAGAAAATTGGATGCTTGGAAAGAATGGGTTTTAACCGAAAATATGGCCTCATACAAAACTTCCCCATTCTTTCTGGCTTTCCAATTTTCACCCAAAACAGATGCAAAAGCGAAAAATAAATAAATAACAGAGACACACTGACCTTTGATCGAAAGAACGATGCTGGGGGACAGAATGATGGGGTGGGGAAAGAAGGGAAATAATGATGGTTGTGGGGAAAGAACGCTGGTTGGGGAAAGAACGATGGGTGTGGGGAAAGAACGATGGTTGTAGGGAAAGAACAATGCCCCTGAAAACAGAACGCTGCCAGTAAGATCCATGGCCTGCAGCGGCATGACTTTGGCAGGTCAGGGGAAGGGGTTGTCTAGTCTATTGGCCCTACCCCTAGCCCGCGGGACAACTTTCTGCATGCGTCAGCGCTCGCTGCAGAAGAAAAAACAACTGAGCCGAAACCGGCTGGAAAGACCGATCGTTGCACTGAGTGCGCGTGTGACGAAAGAATGGGGAATCAACCCTTAGAATCTTTTAAGGAGCCCTCACAAGCCAAAAAAAACGGAAACCACCTCCCTCGGCCCTTCGACCCCACGGTGGCCGCGTTAGCGGCTCGTGCGCTAACGGCTCGTTCGCCTGGAGGACCGCAGCTTCCCGGCCAAGGTCTGCCTCGTGCGGATCACCGGCAACGTGGCCAGCTGCGCCTGGACGTGGACTTAATTAAAGTCGCGACTCCTTTGAGTCATAACCAAAGCCCGCTATTAAAATGGTCGATCCCCAGAGCCATGTAAAATATTAAGGCGGCTGCAGCTATTCATGGCAAGGGGGTTGTCCCTCACCTTCAACTACCCGGGTTTTGATTGCAACTCATTTGGACTATGTGGTCGCCGAGATCGGCGGTTTATTGGGTGGTTTGAAGCAGTTTCGGGGAGGGTTCCGGAGGGTTCCGGAAGGTTCCGGGGGGCTGTTGGGCATACAACCTCTTTCTTGAGGTGGAACCCATAAAATAAGCGATGTCCCTTTGGTTCCCTTGAAAACGCTATTGGGTGTGGCCCAAAAAATCGCCTGGAAGGAAAAACTAGCTGCCTAAAGACCCGCCAAAATGGCAGTGGCCCCCCCCAAAACCAACATGGGATTTCCCAACATAACATGGAACTAAGACAGGTCCCCTGGCTCTTAAATATGTTGGCCACTATGGGAAGTCATGGGCCAAAGAGGTGGATGGATCTTGAAAGATCCAAAACCGCAACTGGGAGCTAAATATGGAAAAGCTCTGCAATGGGCGGAGGTGGATAGCGACATATTTACCAAAAGGATGTGAAGATCGACAGGCTATGCCTTCTTTTTCCGGGCAGGTTACTTAATGTTAACCCGGATTAATAAACCCCTAGTTGATTAATAGGGAGTGTTCCCTTTGGGTGGGGATTCATCACTTTTGGATTTAGGGAACACCCCCTGATAATGGGAACCGTTTATTAATCCTGGGTCCACATTAGCAAGTGACCAAGGAACTTGAAAAAGGCCCTTGGAAGATTGAGCCTAAAGGGACGCCTCCCAAATAACCAAAAGGGGCGGTCTGTGGGCGCCTGGCAATGCAAAGAGGGGCTTGCCCTTTTGGAACCAGCCGACGTCTGGGAACCAAAGTTTGTGGGGACGCGCTGTTTTTCTACCCGTAATTTCCCCGAGGCGTGGGGGTTCCCCGTGAGTCCGGCAGCCGGCAACTCACAAAAACCTGGTCAACTTCGCCCCAAGTGAAATGGAACTGGGGAAACCTTCCCTTTGCCATGATCCCCCCTAATTCTTGCGCCAACTCAAAAGCAAAGCTTCTCGTGGCCATGAAACTGCAACCATTGGTCGCTCCTGTTGCTTCAATTCAAATTCATGCGCCATAGTGCTCACTCCCTCCCCCCTCAATCTTGCCGGCGATTTTTGACGCGGGCAACTTCTTGGCCCGACCAGCATGGTTCCGCACTGCCATTTACATGGCTTCGCACGTTTGGCTTGCTTTCTTTTCACTAGGAGATACATGATGGTTCCCCCAGTCACCCACACTATCATCTAGGTCCTCCACTAGGGAGGTAGAACAAGGGTACCGACTTTTTTCTGCAGTCCATCTTTTTAAGGCGAACACCCTCCCCCCCAAAAAAAAGCTGTGAGAAAGGGCACCCTTTCGCTGGGGGACCCCGATCATGGCTCGTGCCCCCCACCCCCCCCCGTCCCGTCAGGTCCTGCACGATGCCCGCCACAGCGATGAAGCCGAAGAGCATCATGGGCGCGGTGCCCATCACCACGTACCTGGCGGGATCGATCCATCTGGTCGGGGCAGGGTGGCCCAAATTTTTTCTGATGCTAGACTTAAGCCCAATGGGTTCCTCTTTAAAAATATAAAATAAAATGGAAAAAGAAAAAAAGCTGGGGTGAAGTCCACCTTGGGATACTCAAACGACGGAACCCGCTTGTTGAGCTGGGTTTCAACTCAGCTTCTGTTGGTCGAGGCTTGGTGGAGTGGGGCACGTACCCCCAGGTGCGGGTCACCAAAGTTGTGACCTCCCGATTTGGGCACCTGCCATTTTTTCGGCTGCGGCTTCTTTTGCCGCTGATAACCGGAATGTATTTAGCCTCTTGCGGCAAATCTGTGGGTCCACCAACCTGCGGGATACTAACTTAAGAGCCCGCCAAAGGGCTGATCGCTGGAAAGAACCTGTGGCGCATGTCCCCCTGTTTTGGACCTTCCGGGGCGCCCTTGGCAAGAACATTCTCCAGGCTGGGGCTTAGGTGCTTTGATAAACCCGTACCGCACCAATCTGGTAGTAACAAATGTATAGCCCACCCCCCCAAAAAAAAGAAATAAGCTCGGGCGATATCCCCAACAGCACCACACCCTCCCAGAATCCTCGCGGAACGCCCCGGGACCATCCTCCCTGATCGGGGCCCGACGGCGCAATCGGGGCCCGATCGGGGCCCAACGGCGCAATCGGGGCCCGATCGGGGCCCGACGGTGCAATCGGGGCCCGATCGGGGCCCGACGGTGCAATCGGGCCCCGATCGTCCCGTGGTGCAACCCCAGCCACCCATATTATAGCTCAACGCCGGTTTTCCTTAGCATGCGGATTGCAACTGTATCTATAGCAAAACTAGGCGATGCCAGCTTGGTACAATTGACGGGGCCCTGAGTCGGGCCCCGATCGGGGCCCGACGGCGCAATCGGGGCCCGATCGGGGCCCGACGGCGCAATCGGGGCCCGACGAATCGGGGCCCGATCGGGGCCCGACGGTGCAATCGGGGCCCGATCGGGGCCCGACGGTGCAATCGGGCCCCGATCGTCCCGTGGTGCAACCCCAGCCACCCATATTATAGCTCAACGCCGGTTTTCCTTAGTATGCGGATTGCAACTGTATCTATAGCAAAACTAGGCGATGCCAGCTTGGTACAATTGACGGGGCCCGACTGAGTCGGGCCCCGATCGGGGCGCGATGGCGCAATCGGGCCGAAACGGGCAATCGGGCAATCGGGCCCCGACCTAGGCCCGGTGAACCTCGCAAACCGTTCTCACGCAACTTTCGTGGAGCTCAGCGTGAAACTTTGCTGGAACCTTTCCTCAGGGCTGCCCCATAGCTTTTGCAGAATTTGGTGGAAACCTTCTGACCTCATAGCCCTCGCAGCCTCGTGGAATTCTTGGAACCAAGCAGCAATGCCAAGCATTTACTCTGCTGCACCGTGAGTTCCGCAGCGACGTGATCTGATTTGCCACAAAGCCAACATTTGCCTGAGCAAGTGAGCAAGTCACAAAACAGTGAAAGTGTGCTAAAAAACATTGATTTTGGTTTTGCTTAGTGTTCCGCCCATGAGCAAAGCGATCTTGATCCGATGGCTTTTCAGACGACGGGCGCACGACACCTTGGTGGAGCATTGTGGAGCCTTGTGGAACCCGTGTGGAATCCTTGCAGAGCTTTGTGGAACCCTGTGAAACCTCAGGGCCCACAGCCCGCGCAGAATCTTGTGGAACCCTGAAACCTTACCTCAAACCACCCCGGACCACCCCGCAGCCCTCGCAGAATCTCGTGGGACCCTGCTAGAACCGTGCTGGAATGGAACCTTACCTTGCAAAACCTGGTGGAATTCTGGTGGAATTCTCATGGAACATTACCTCAAACCAGCCCGGACCGCTGGTGGAACCCTGGTGAAACCCTGGTGGAACCCTCGTGGAACCTTCCCCGGACCATGCCGCACCCTTGAAGAAATTGGTGGAACCCTGGTGGAACCCTTGTCCGGAGCACGACGGGCTGGTGGAACCCTGGTGGAAACCTGGTGGAACCCTCATGGAACCTTACCTCAAACCACCTCGGACCACCCTGCAGCCCTCGCAGAACCTGGTGAAACCCTGGCAGAATTCTGGTGGAAATCTGGTGGAACCCTTGGAACCTTCCTCAAACCAGACCACCCCAGCCCTCGAAGAAATTGCTGGAACCCTGGTGGAACCCTCGTGGAACCTTACCTCAAACCATCCCGGACCACCCGGTGGAACCCTCGTGGAACCTTACCTCAAATCACCCAGACCACCCCGCAGCCTGGTGGAACCCTGGCGGAACCCTCGTGAACCTTCCTCAAACCCGCAGCCCTCAAAGAAATTGGTGGAACGCTGGTGGAACTCTCGTGGAACCTTACCTCAAACCACCCCAGACCACCCCGCAGAACCTGGTGGAACCCTGGTGGAACTCTGGTGGAACCCTGGTGGAACCCTGGTGGAACCCCTGGTGGAACCCTGGTGGAACCCTGGTGGAACCTTAGCTCAGGGTCGCCCCGAACCACCCCGGAGCCTATCTGGGCTGAGACCCCAAAGCTTTCAGCTGTTGGGGGAAAAAGACATTTTTCCCCAACAGCTGAAAGCTTTGGGGTCTCAGCCCAAATACCTTGAGGTAAGGTTCCACGAGGGTTCCACGAGGGTTCCACCAGGGTTCCACCAGGGCTCTGGGTTCCACGAGGGTTCCACGAGGTTCTGCGAGGGCTGCGGGTGGTGCGAGCACTAAAAAGAGCACCGCATGCTGTTGGGGATATCACCTGAGCTTATTTCAGGTTCTAGCTGCATGTAACAATGTTGCCTCCTCTCACCAAGAGAACTGGTAGAAAAACCTAGCATGTCTGGTGGTTGGCCCTACTCCCCACCAAACATCATCAACAACTAACACTTCAAGCTTCAATTCTAGTTTCTGAGCTTTTGCCCAACATTCCCCACATGCTGCACAACAATCAAACATATATTCTAAAGAATAATGTTCTGTGATCTTGTTGTCTAGTGGAAATGTTGTGCTGAATTTCCAAATGTTGCGCAATATTTTGGCAAAACGTAGAAAACAAGCCAAACACTCAATGGCATGTCCTTATGAATTCCGAATAAAACAACTAACGGAGAGAATAACTATTGAAATGGCAAGTTCAAGTTCCGTTTCAAAAGGTTAACTGGCCTTATCTAATTTCATATGATTCTAACTAAGCAGGAACTGAGCCAAGCCAATCACAGAAAGTGTTTTAATCAGTACGCATCTGCCCCTTACAACAATGCAGTAAATGCGTCATTCGCAGCATGTGTCAGATCATTGTTCCCCCCGAAAAAACATGGTGAAGCGGCGCATTGCATGTGGCAAGCTGGGCGCCTACTGGATTGAAAATTTTAAACTGCAAAATTGTTGACCCAAGATCCAAGATTGCACAAACAAGTTTCTTGAGAATCTTGAATTCAAGCCACCCAAGAAATGCGCGCTCTTGCAGTTGAGCAACGTTTCCGAGGCTCTCAGATTGGTTCACAAATGTTGCAAAACATTTGGGAAATGTTGCGCAGCATTTCCGCTGGAGCAAAGAACCAAACACAAAATAACACAAAACAAAACAGCACTTTCCAGGCATGGAGGGGGTAGACTTGTTTTTGTTGCCTTTTTTTCTGTTTGGGAGACGTTAGCCAAAATACTTCGCAACATTTGAACATGTTGCGCATTGCCACTGGACAGAAAACCACACACACACACACACATGCAAATCAATCGACTTCCCTCCCATGGTGGGGGTATAGATTATGTTCTTATCTGTTCAGTTTTAACTTGAAACAGCAGTTAAATTCGAGACTGCTTCTCATATGTGATGTTCAATGAAAGGCGACTGGCATTACTCCAAACAATCAAACTAGATAGCCAAGTTGCTGTTCTTGTCAGCCACTGTTGCTGGTTTTTGGGGTACATTACATGGCAAAAAGCAGCAACTGGCAAATCCAGGAAACTAGCTAAGCAACACATATGGTCCAACAGAATTACTGTCCAAATGTTATTTCAGCAGAGTTGAGTTCGATGCTACTGCTACTGAGGACCTCGAACACCTGTACACTTGATGTGGATCTCGATTTCAATCAGCGATTTAGATGAGTTCATTTCCCACAATGACGGTTTACTGATCTTCCTTAACAAATGAGAGAAACAAATCAGGATAACAGAGGTTGAAGCTGCCAAAGTGTACTGTGCGTATTGCTCTTGTACTGAACAGTTGCGTTTTGTTTGAGCTGGAGCTGCCAATCGCCGCCAAGTACAAGTAGATGAGATTCAAGATTCATGCGCTGGACAAATATGACTCGGGAATCTTGAAACCCATTTTAACTCGTGGCTTCAAGTCTCTCAAGATTCAAGATGAAGAAAGGTTTCTGGAGAATGTTGAATTCAAAGCCCTGAACAAATGCACTTTTGGAGGTGTTCTTAGCGGGGTAGGGAATATATGTGTACATACGTGCAAATAGCAAAAATATCTCTCTCATTTGTTTACACTCCGTATCCCAGGAAGGTGTTGAAGATATGGTGTGGCAAAGGGTTGAAAGGTTGAATATTGAATCAACCATTCTGGACGCACTAAAAGGCAATTCCTTACCCGTGACCAACTCGGTCGGCCGAGCCGACACGTTGCGCGGGACGCTGGTCGGGGAAGCGATCAAAAGCATAAAGGTCAAAGCAAAGAGCCACCGATCGAAGTGGGCATGTATAAAAACCCCATCGTTTTACAGGGTTTTGGGAGACCTCACCACAAAAAGTCCCACCCTGACTAAACTGCAATTGGGGGGTTATTATACAAGCCCAATTGTTTGGCTATGTGTCAGGGGGTTGGACCGATCAATGGGTTTAAAACCTCGAAGCTAAAACGGGTAATCTCCATGTTAGCCACGTACGCACATACAAACTGGGTCCTCCAGATTTGAGAGGTTAGAATAAGTTGGTACCGACTTTTTTTCCTGTAGTCTATTTTAGTAGGGTTGAACCCTGCCCCAAGAAAGTTGGTAAAAGGGCACGATCCTGGGGCACCTAGCAAACACACATACAGAAGCTTGTGGAGGTAGAATACACATGGAGGTTCCAGGTTCGAGGTTCTATCTGCCGCCAGGCGCTCCATTTTAGCACCTAGACATTTTTCTGTAGTCTATCTTAGTAGGGGAGCCCTGCCCCAAGAAAGGGTAACACACATACAAAAGTTTGTGGAGGTAAGTTTGAGGAACCCACTCTCGCCAGGCCGCAAACCGATCATGATCCACACCAGGCAGTACTCATAGGGCCGAAGGAAGCGGAGGGCATTCCTGGACGACTCGGAGAACTCGCTACCCGAGAAGCCCTGCGTTCGCCAGGCTGGGCCCAAAAAGGGAAAGATAGCCAGGGTAACCTCCAATGGGTGGTTTGGATGGGTGGTTTGCTGATCCTGGGTGGTTTGGATGGGTGGTTTGATTTGCAGCCCTGCCTTTTCTAGATGGTGAATGCAAGCAAAACCCTCCTTTAATTAAAGGCAAGCTGAGATAAAATGGAGTGTGAAAGAAGCAGAACTGGGGTTGGACAAACGAGCACCCTGTACGACTCCTGATTCATACCCCAATTCTTACTCAGGCTACTCAGGCCCTTCCAGAATTCAGCCCCCCCTCTAAAAAAGGGGAGGGCCCGAATTGCCGTTAAAAGGACAGCAAACCAAAAAGGAAGACAAAAACACGTTGAACCATTGAAAGCAGAAGAAAAATACAAAAAGCGGGTTGAAAGCAGCTGCGGGCTTGTTTGCAAAAAAAGAAGAGAAAAAAGAAGAAGAAGAAACGAAAACGGGGAGCCTAAGAAAACTCACACGAGCAGTCATGGCTCCAGACCCAAAAGGCCATGAGCTCCGCGCTGAGCCAAATCAGCACCGAGCCCGGCAGGAGCTTGGGGATGACCGCCACCACGTAGTCCCCGAACAAGAAAACGAGGCCCGAAAAGACGAACAGCAGGACCTCGCCGGTGCCAGCCAAAAAATAAATAAATCGAAGAGCCGGAAGCGCCCGGGGTGCTAAGAAGCGCTTCTTGGACTTCGCGCATACTTTCGGGTTTTTCTACCCACCTGTCAGTTGGAAGGGGTGACGAGCCCGGAGCCCGTGGTGAGACGGCGTCTCCCCTGCCCTCCCGGTTTCTATGGTTGTCAAAGGCCCCGAACAGCGGCTAGACAATCTCTGTGAGGGGGATCTGATCATCTTCAAAAGATCCAAGTTTGAAGGCCCCCCCCCGCCAGCTCCGGTACCCCCTACCTTTGCATCACTAAAACTAGGGAGCCTCAATTTTGGTTGGTCACAAGGGCGTCCTTTATCCAAATACCAACCATTTAAGGGCGTGTTTTGGTTTTCCTTTAGTCAGGGGTCAAGCGGATACCCTAAGACAAGCGGGTATGTGGGGAGTAGGGGCCTCCTCAACCACGGCTTTACAATCCCAGACAATCCATTCAGGTTAAATATACCACATTTACCCTCCAAATGGGTCAAATCTTGGTCTACATGGCATGCTTGGGAATGGCGCTATGACAAAGGGAAACAGGTTGCAAAGGGAACTTCCTCACTGATCTGTTTGGGTTGCGTCCGAAGGGCCCGGGCTTTGAACCGTTTGTTGGTTGGATTGATGGCTTTGCGTACAAGAACTGGTCCAATGAGAAACTGCCCCGAAGAACCACAAAATCCAAACTATCAAGAGAGAGGCAGATCCAGATTTGCCCTCGCAACTCAGTCAGATTTGCGTAACAACAAAACCGGCGCAGTTTCGAGTTTCCAACGCCTGGCCTCCGTTATATAAGGGGAAAACAATGCAAACTGTCGCAAAGTACACGTTTTTAAGCCCTAGCACCCAACCTTTCAGCTTTTCCACCCATGTCCAAAATCCGTGTAGGGGTTCCCCCGAAACTTACATGTCCAACCTCCGCCAGTGTCTTTCAAACAGCGCTACATGTATAGACCTTCGTTTCTGCCTTTCGTGCCCTGTCTCATTGCAAATCCGACCGCGCGCTTCGTGTCATTCACCCCTGATTTGTCATATTTTAAGGCGCGGGGGAGGCGCGCGGGGGAGGCGCTTTTGGGCTGGGCTTCTGAGATATATCCCCTCGTCGGGCCTCGCATCTTATTCACAGCTTTCATCAAGGGGTGAGAGTCGCGACAAGAAAAAGGGACACAAAAATAGTTGCCCTTGGGATTCCCGCCAAGCCAAAAGAAAACATCGCGCCCTCGAAAATCCCGGCACCTAAAGGCCTTTTGATGGTCATGGAAAAGCCATCAACGATCTCTCGCTCTCTCTGCCATCGGGCGGTGAAAGGAAGCCGCCCTTCGCAAAGCCGCCAAAGAACGGTGAAAACGATTGATGGGCGAGCCAAGTCTCGCTTGCCCAAAGGAGCAGGAAGCGTTTGCAACATTGGCCTTTGGCAAAAATGGATGGGTGTCCCTGGCAAACGGAACAAAACCCATCTAAACCAGTGCCATCTATGTTTAACCAAACTAACCTAAAAAGGACGCCTACGGCTTGCAAGTGCTACTACTTTCTGAGGGGCCACCATTTAGATGGCAAGGTTTGGGGACAAACCTGTTGCAAGTTTGAATCCTAAAATGGGCGTGTGGACAACCACTTGAATGTGCCATTGCTTGGGTGATTTTCAAAATGCCCTTGGTCTCCCTCATTTTCGGGATTCTTTTTGAGGTCCTTACAAACCCAAACTCATCCTGGGCTTATACAATAGGCTAAATAATATTAATAGATTCTCCAAGACTGGTTTTGAAGTACCCCTCAACCACATCGCGAATTCACACAATTTCCCCAGCAACCAACACTTATAATGTGTTTGTTTCCCTCTTCTGGCGTACGGGGTACGGGGTGCCCCTATTTTGACACACACACACACAGCCGGAAAAAAAAAGAAGAAGAATAATAAGAAGACGAAGAAAAAACACCGGTGGGATTTCTTCCCCCGCTTCGCCTGGAACTGCTGGCCATCCGCGCCCAAAGTGCGGCAGGTGATGGAGAAGGACATCACCATGTTGGCCGTGAGCCCTACGGATCGATCCACTGCACCGCACCGGAGGGCGACTTTTTTTCTCAGCTTTCAGCTCGTTTTGGGTTTCGTGGGAGTTTTGATCCACCCCAACAATTTGGTTGGTCCTCTGGACTTGGGGGAATTGATCCAGCCCCAGAATTTGGTTGGCCCCGCTACTTAGAGGAACTCCGAGAACGCCAAAGAAGCAACGGCCAGGGTTTGTGTTTGGTTGGCCTAGAGGGGTTCTTAAACACTGGGGCTGAAGGAGCCCGATGAAGATGTGGAAGCTCTCTTCTTCGGCTGTCGGGAGGGGAAAAAAAAAACTCGCTCGAGTTTGGGGTGCAGAACACGCATGGTGAAAGGGCCTTGATTAAAAATCGGCGACCCCTTTTAGAGGAACTCCCTTGGGTGATGAATAGGCTGCATTTCAGGAGGGCTCCTTCACTTTTGGGGGGAAGCATTACCAAATCCCTGGCCGAGGACCAGCCAACCCTTGTGGGCATTGTAGCGCTAATCATTACGACCGCCACCAAAATGAGGTTTTTGGATGGGAAGTCAAACAGAGCCATCGGCAAATTCGAGTTGGTTGTTCATCCCGCTTAGGTTCAACCAGGAGACCGCAATGTGCAACCAAAAAAGCTGAAATAAGAGTTGGATACCCACGAAATCAGGACCATCATGGCGTTCCCTCGTTTTTCCCCAGCGGCGAAATCGCTCGCCATGGCAGAAACTGTTTAAACCACTGGGTTTATGAATCCGCTTTAACACCCGCTTTGGGGTACCAATGTGTGCATTTGAGTTTCGACGGGACCAACCTGCTGGTTTAACCTTTTGTTTAGGTTGGAGCTGGTTTGGAATGCCGCGGTACATGCAGCTTCTGCAGGTATCCAAGAGAAACCACCATTCACAAAGCAATTATCGGGAACCACGCGTAACGGAAACAGGAGTTCGGGGCCCCAGGGACTTGTTTGAGCAAGCTCCTTCTGTTTTTCCTTTTGCGAAGCTGATTCTGTCCCCTCCAAGCTCATGGGAAAATGTTGAAACGGTTTGGACCCCCTCAAACGTAGTTTTCCTAGGTTTGCGCATAATAAAAAGCTAGGCCCAGTTTGAGCAAGACCGTTTCACCTCTTGGGCCTGAGAGCGCGCCGCTGCCCACGTTGTAGATACCTCGAAAGGCGGCTTGGCCTTCTCTTCCAAAGGAGGCGTTATCAACTCTAGGTCCTCCAGATTTGAGAGGTTAGAATAAGTTGGTACCAACTTTTATCTTTTTTGTCTATTTTAGCAGGGGAACCCTCCCCCGAAAAAGGTGTCAAAAAGGGCACTACTGGGGAACCTGGAACTAATCCAAGGGCGCTTCCACACGTCAGGCCTTCCAAGAAATCCCAAGAGGACCGGAACAAACTTGCTGGTGCGATAGCCAGGGAATGACCGAGCCCGGGTGTGTTGGGATTTTTTAATGGGGTCCTTATTCTCATTTCTCATTCTTTGCGAACCAGAAGCTTTCTTGGAATCACTGGACATAGACATGTTCTTGTTGTTTTCCAGGAGATCTAAGCAAAATGTGGCTTCCATGGCTTCCAAAGGGCAGAAAACCCAATGTCAGGCCCCTGAGGTGCTCAGAAACCTGGCTGCAACGAGCAAACGTCCAACCTGGCCCACCCAAAAACCCGGGTACGGGTCAAAATTAAACCACCAAAAAAACGCAAGCCTAGTCCATGTTTCCATTTACCAGGATTCCATTTGGGTACACCTGGAAATACCACCAGGGCGAAAAAGTAGATGGCACCATTCCAGTTTGCGAGGCTCGGGGTTCAGGGGATGACTTAAGAGCAGAGGGGGGTGATCCCCTTTGGGTCCGCAAAAAAGGGTAATTCGCTGGAGGTGTCTTTTTTACACCCTGAAAAGAGTACCCCCAGAAAGACACGCCCCTTTCGGACCCAGAAGTGAACCACTGGCAAGCCCCACGACTGAAAAGGTGGATTTGAATGGGGTTGACAAAAGGCGGGTGCTTCTGTTTTGAGGGCACCCCTTCTGAAACTGATCTAAAGAAAAACAAAAGGGGGGTCCTTTTTGGACACACACAGACACCCAGGTTTCTTGGTTGAATTCCTGATAAGTTCGAGTCAAGGGGCAACGAATGACTCAAATCCCAAGATGGCAGAAGTTAGCTATCTTCGACTTTAGTCACAGCCACCGCTGAACAAAGCAACAAACAAACAAACAAACAAACAAATAAACAAACAAACAAACAAACAAACAAACAAACAAACAAACAAACAAACAAAACAAACAAAACAAACAAACAAAACAAACAAACAAAACAAACAAACAAGCAAACAAACACAAAAAAACAAGCAAAACAAACTGACGAACAAAACAAACAGACAAGCAACGAAACAAACAAAACAAACAAAACAAGCAAGCAAACAAACAAACAAACAAACAAAACAAACAAACAAACAAACAAAAAACAAGCAAAACAAACAGACAAGCAAAGAAACAAAAAAAAATGTCTAGCTAGCTGGCTGGCCTGCTGACAAGATACCCGACCAAGTGAGCTAAATCTCCAGCTAGCGAACTAGCTACGTAGGCCAACTAGCTGACTAGCTAGCCGGCTTGCTAGCTGGGAAGCTGCCAGCAAACCAGCTACCCAGCGCATGATAGCTAGCTAGCTAAGCACACTAGCTAAGTAAGCAGGGACCTACCTGACTAGTTAACTCTCAAACTATCTAAGTACCTAGCCAGCTAGCTAGCTAACTTTCTGGCCAACTAGCTGAAAGCCGCTAACTAGCCAACTTGCCTTCGCACGTGCACTTGAAGAGACCAAGGAAACAGGCGCGTCGTTATGCATGCCACGCATGTGCATTGGCAAGGAGCCTGTCTCCAACCAATCGTTGCGTGTGTTTTTAAACTTCTCACCCGCAACTTCGGCGGCTTGCTGTTGGGGTCGTGTAAAAATCGCTGCGCCTGACTTGGGCCCAGGTCTTCACTTGAAACTCCACCAAACCGGGACCTAGCAAAAACGGCTGACATCAGTCGAACAACAACCCTTTTTCAGCTGGGTGTTCAATGGGGGAACTCGAAGAAATCAAAATCGTCACATGGGAAACTAACATTTACGGGCATAGTACCCAGGCTAACACGAATTTCCCCCTGGAGATCTTCGTCTGGCTCGACCGATTTATGCACGTGTGATCTGGGAGAACCAAAGGGAAACCAGGGGGGTCCATGCTATTTTGACACAAAACCCACGTGAGCCCCAGTCAAAACTATATACTTGCTCACGGGGAATTGTGCGAGTCACCCTAGTTTTAGAGCCCTTTTGGACTCCTCACAAGGGCTATACAAATCACCGTTCAAACCCGTATGTTACAATGGGGTGGGTCCAAAACCGGGAACCACCTTTGGGCCGGGAGGGGGGGGGGGCAAGCGCCCCTACCTTCGACGCAAAAACCCAACGACGCGAAAAAGTGTCCGGCGGAGCGGCCGTGGAGCATCATCTCGCGATCGATGTCCACACGAAACCTCGTGGCCGCCATGGTGCCGAAAATGTTCATCACCGCCGTCAAGACCGAGATGCAGGCGGCGTTCACCTCCCAAATTATGGCGCCGGGGCGCGTGTGTTTGTTTGTTTGTTTGTTTGTTCGTTCGTTCGTTCGTTCGTTCGTGCGTGTGTTCGTTCGTTTGTTTGTTTGTTTGCTTGTTTGTTTGTTGTGTGGTTGCTTTTTGTGTTGTTTTTTGGCCCGGAAAAAAGTCATCCATAAGTTGGACATGTGGGCTTGTCTGAAATTAGGGGAACCCCCAACTAACAAACGGGTCCCCTGCTTTGAGAAACATCCATGCGTCAAGGCAAACCGCAAAACGGCGACGTGTTTTTTCCTTTCACTGTAAGCCAAGGTGAAGAGGGTGCCCTCCAACACCCGCACAGTTTGAACCCATGGGTGGTTACTTTGGGGAAGCAGGGGGGTGGGTGTTGTGTGTTTTGTTGCGACAGGCTTCACTTCGGTTCAACAGTCGGGGAGGGGCGAGTTTGTTTGATTTGATTTGTTGTTTGTGTGTGTGCGATTTGTGTTGTTTTGCTTTGTATTGTGTGGGGGTGATAACGCTTTTATCGACAATACGCGACTGCCGCCGCGGATGAAATGGCCTGGTTGATGAGGTTTCTGGAGGGTGGTCTGGAAAAAAAGTTGTTTGAAGAAACACGGTGGTTCCTTGATGGGACATGAACCAAGGGGGTTGCTCAGCATTGTGGCCGTGCCAAAGGAAAGAAGCCTGCCGACCACCTTAGATCAAGGCCCCGTTAGCTCCAAGCTGAGTCTTCAGGGTCAGCACCTGCAACCACCCCCCCTCCCAACCAACCAGCCAACCAAACAAACCGAACCGAACCAAACCGAACCGGCGCTTCCAACAACCCGAAGCGCCGCTCCTTTTTTTTGGCCGCGCGGCGCTTCGCGCTTCGGTGCCAACTTTCACCACCGGCGACGCCTCCGGTTTTTCACTCGACGACCCCGACCTCGGACGACTTCGCCGGGGCGCCACGGTGAGCCAAAAGCTCGGGGCCGCGAACTCCTGCCAATCCACTTTGGGCCCGGAGGGGTCGAAGTGCTTGGTCCAGACCCGGTAGAAGACCGGGTGCTCCGGCAAGGTCACCTGAGCTCGACTCAGACCCCGAAAGAGCCGCCCAGGTCTGACAACACAAAAAAATGCCAGACTGGATCGACGGAAAGGGACCCTGGAGTGGCAGAGCCTGAGGTTTCCCTGCACTGAACTGGTCCGGCCGGGATCTTGAGAAAAAGCCACACAAACACCAAGAAAGGCAAGCTCACCTGCGGCATATTTTCACTAGACCCCAGCAAGGCCTTATTCGTGCCTTACTGGGAGGAAGCCAAGGGGCGGGGCATATTCAGGGTTCTGCGTGTGTTGCCAAAAATTGCGCCAAGAGGGCCGGCCAATTGTTGGAATGCCATATTTCTATATGTCGCAGATTTCGTCGACGAAACATGGTTGCTTGGACGATCCAGCGTCCAGTTTGGCAAAGAAGTACGACAAAATCCATATAGACAAATAATTAAGAGAAAGAATCTTGACAAATGGACGCGCACACACACAAATGCATATTTGTGTGTATATATATATATATGCACATACATGTTTACACACATACATATATATATATATATGAATATATGAATATATACATGTATATATATATATATATGTGTGTGTGTGTGTGCGTGTGCGAATAGATATGCGTTTACCTTTTTTGAGGCTTGGTATTTTTTGGTGCTGCTTTGAAGAGAGGCCAGGGGAAATCGAGGGGCATGTTCGCAAGTGGCCGACAGATCCCAATGCATGGTGGCTTTCCTTTGGTCCAAAGGGTCCCCATTTTCGGACACCATGTTCCGGGGTGAATGAAAACAAAACTTCCCTGAAATAAGAATTGGACCCACCAGAAGAAACCTTGACTACGTCCTGAACCCAAACTCCTACATCCGAAAGCCCCTTCTGTTTTGGAGGGTTTCTACACGTCTACGGGGCCCCTTTGCTTTCAACCAAACAAGGTAATGGTCCAAACAGCGCTATTTCCCTGTCAACTCCCCCCCCCCTCACGTGTTGGGTCTATTGAAGCGTAAACTCCTCAACATTACTCGGGGAACGCCCGTTTGTTTGTTTTTGTATCATGCGCAGTTTGCGGGGAGCCCGGCCCACTGACACGCCCCTAATCGCTTTCGAAGTCGCATTGAAGAGAAGTCCTTGCGCGCGCGCCTCCTCCAAGCCTCTTCCTGTCACCAGCCTCGGAGTTGCCAGTCGGGCCACCAACCCCACCCAACGCGCCAGGGGAAACCATCAGGAGCTTCTGGGCCTTTACCGTTAGCTCTTAACATTGACGACGGCAAGTAGGGCATGTTTTAGATGAGGCCTTTACCGTTACCTCTTAACTTTAACATTTCATGGAAGGGAACACAAACTTCCTCATGAAAAGACCCCGATTCTAAACCCACTTCCTCCATTCTTGGAAGAACTGCAAGTCGATGAGTCTCGGTTTAGGTGGCACCCTATCGGACTGATTCCATCGGTGGCATTCATATGAGCAACGGGCAAACGTTGCGCGCAGCCAAGCCAAGGGCCCCTTCCGTGAAGCCAAGGAAAAACCACCCATTTGCCGCGGCGAAAACGCCCTGTCGCCTTGGTCCAAACTCCACCAAGCCCAAGTAGAGGGCTGTGGTTTGACCACCTGGATTAGAAGGCGAAGCCAACGAGACCCAAAAACCAGCCGTTTTCTCAGGGTTTGCGGAGGTTTTCTAGAAAGAAGGATCCCTGGAAAGAATGGGGAAGGTACCCTTAACGACCCAGAACGGGACCCCCAAACGGCCCGGGTGTGGCGTTGTGCCAAGCTCCTCGCGCCGAGCCACATCCAGCCGCAGAAGCTCAGAGCCTCGCCATCTTCGCCCACTTGACACACATAGCAACTCTTGTTCAAACAACCCTCAGTTGCCCCCTGGAAACCCAGAAGTAAAAGGTTGAACGAAGAAGCCAAAAGCTGATGTTGGGGCCATGACTAAAACTTGCCAAGAAGGAAGAAGCCAAAAGGTCAAAAGGCCGGCGTTGGGCAACTGAAACCTCCTTTGGGTTTCAAGGCCCCGCCCTGTAACCTGGCTCTTTAAATCTTGCGTTCAAACAACCTTCGGAAGGACGCATGGCTGGCTAACTTTGACCACCTGGCGCACCTCACACACACACATACCCGACAAAAGGCCAAAAGCAAAGACAGCGCCTCAGCCAGCAGCACTGCCGGGATGAGCAGATCCTTGCCGGCCAAAGCACCGAAAGCGAACCCTTTTGCGCCTTTTTTTTTGGGGGTGGGGGGACGGGGCCATCCAACATGCACCAACTCTCTGTGCAAGATGGATGTGCGACTTTTTGTTGGGGATTCGGCGGCCCAAACCACCCCCAAATGCGTGGGTCCTCTTGGCGTCCCTTGGATGTCCCACTTTAGAGCGGGCCTCCCTGGCGTAAACTCCACAAGTGGTTCCGCGGTCGGGAGTCAGT